TCTCTGTGATCTTCTATAAGATAAAAATCAATAAAAATAATAAATAACTAACTGTTTTTTATATATATTACAGACTATACAAATGAACAGTGACTCTTTTTGAGCTAGTGAATATCTCTAGTACATTTCAGAAATATATTAACTAAGCTCTATAAGATCTGTTTGATAAGATTATATCAGTATATATAGATAATATTCTGATCTTCACTGATAAATCACTCACTGAACATCACAAATATATACAACAAATACTTGACTATTTACAAAAAGCAGAATTACAGATGAATATTAATAAATATAACTTTGAGATTAAGTCTACAATCTATCTAAGATTTATCATCAAAGCTGAAAGAGATATATAAATGAATTCTAAAAAGATGAAAGTAATTCTCAACTGAGAGATATCTATCTCAGTAAAAAAGACTAGAAGTTTTCTAGAATTCATCAACTTCTATCAAAGATTTATCAAAGACTTCTCAAATGTCATACAACCACTAATAAATTTGATATGAAAGAATGTCATATTTCAATGAATCATCAAAGCAGACACTGTCTTTAAGAAGTTGAAGTATATATTCACAACCATCTCAATGCTGCAATTATTCAACTCAGATAAGCATATAATTCTTGAAATAGATATTTCAGATTATATGATGAACAGAGTACTAATATAATACAACAGTGAAGATATTCTACAATTCTGCATCTTTATTTCAAAGAAAATATCATTTACTGAATGCAACTATAAGATCTACAACAAAAAGCTTCTAATGATTATACAATATCTCAAAAAGTGAAAATTCAAGCTTATAAATATAGAGAAGTTCAAGATCATCACTGATTATAAGAATCTAGAATACTTCACAATCACTTATAAGCTTACAGAGAGGTATATATGCTGATCACTGTTTTTTAGCTATTTCTCATTCACAATTTATTATCAATCAGAGACAGAGAATGCTCTTGCAGATGCTCTATCTTATCAAGAATAAAATATATTCTTCAACAATCTAGATGACAGATAAAAACATCAAAAACATCAATTAATCAATCTTACAATTATAAGAAGTCTCATACAATCAGATAGCTTCTATATATATATTAATCTATTTCAAACTCAGAAATCTTTACTCAAAGAGTAATGAAAGTAAGCAGTAGAGATAGATGAATTCTGACAACAGACTACAGAAGCTATACAAAACAAAGTATCTCAATTTTTCACAGATATATACTCAAGAACAGATATCTCAGTATACTCAATCAATAATAACAACTGTCTACACTTTCAAAATAGATAATGAATCTTCAACTCAGAACTCTTATAAATAAAAATTATATAAAATATTCACAACTCATCAATAACTGAACACTCAGAGTATGAGATTATATACAGTATTATCATTCAAGAATTCTACTGATTAGATATATCAAAGAATATACATCAGTTTATACACAATTGTAATCACTGCAGCTCAGTAACAGTATAATATAAGTATTAAAAAAAAATACTGAAATCTCTGTCTGTCTCTAAACAAATCTGATGTAATATAATTATCAACTTTATAGTTTTCTTATTCAAAAACAGCAGTTCTATAAATATTCTAGTCATTGTCAATCATCTCAGTAAAAATATAATACTGCAATTCTGTAATAAAATAAATACTGAAATTATTGTAAACATCTTTATCAGAAGCTTATTCTATTATATATACAGTCTACTCTCATTCATTATATCAGATAGAGACAGTCAGTTTATAAATATATTTTGAATTTATATATATCAGCTACTGAGAATTGAGTAAAAGTTGTCAATAGTATACTACTCAGAGATCAACAGAGCCACTGAGAGAATGATATAGATAGTTAAAAATATTCTTCAAAAGTTCTATAACTATATATAAGATGATTGAAGTAATCTGCTGTTATATACTGAGATTGTTATAAATAGTCAAGATTCTACTACAACAGATATAAACTTATTCTTTTTTCTATATAATTATAATTTAGAGATTCTGAACTTCTCTGAGATTCTTTAAGAAATTATATATATCTGCAGTCTTATATAGACAGCAGAGAATATAGTTAGTAAACTTAAGAAAATTCATAAATAAGCTAAAGCTTCAATGATCAGTGCTTAATAAAACTATAAAAATCAAGTAAATATCAGAAGAAGTTCTGCAATTTATTATAGTATAGAAGATAAAATCTGATTAGATTTTAAAAATATAAGAACAGATCACTTCTCACATACACTGAACTATCATTACATCAAATATATAGTAGTAGAAGTGCTAGATACTCACAACTATTAACTGAATACTTCATCTAACATTCATAATATCTTTCATACAAATCTGCTTCAATCTGTGGCTGAGGATTTATTTTTTTCACAAAAGATCTTCAACTAACAATCATCTGTCATTATAGAAGAAGACAATGAATTCAAATGAGAAATTGAAGCAATTCTCAGTGATAGAATCAATTGCTGTCATCATAAATATCTTGTCAAATAGATAGAATACAATTATTCAATCTGAGAATCCACATCTATTATGGATGACACTGTTGCATTTGATATCTATAAATCCTCACTCATCTCAGTAGAGAGGGATAATGTGATGAATTAGCACTCATTAGTAGTTAACTTATGCAATCAATCCTCTATCACTCATTTGCCCTCTCACATACTCTTGTATATCTATAAGACACCTCTCTTTTTGTGATTCTGCTCTGCACTTGTGTAGTCTCTAATAATTTCTTTATATAATCTTTAACATTCTTTCACTCTGTGCTCCACTGCAGCACAATTCTCAATATTTTTTTATCTTAATTCTTCTTCTATAAAAACCTCTTTGTACAACCCCTTCTTCTGATCTTCTTTCTCTTTCTTTTCTTAATTAATTCATAAACTGTTATTAGAATAGTATCAAGTTTGTTGATAGTGCTGTTGGAATAGATCATACAAGCTGTGCAGGCAGTACAAATGATTTAATCTGTAACATCAGTAATATCTGCTTAATTGATAGCACATCTGTTACAGTTTCAGCTTCTGTTTAAGTAAGACAATATAATAATAATGATTATAAAATGCTTCTGACTTTGAGAGTGCTGAATATAGTGCATTCTGCTGCTTTGCAGAAGTACAGTATTATTTATGAGTCAAGATATCAGAACTTTGAATTCAAGCATCTATAAAAGCTTCCATTCTTCAATCATTTCACTGTAATGCTTTGATTATTATTATTATTATTATTCTTCATTTATAGATGTATGCAGTCAGTGACTATGACATCTATCTGAAATATTTCAGAATTTTTCAAATCAAGAATTTTCTAATATACAAAAGCAATTTGATACATACAGTAATAGAATTTCAGCTCAGAATCAAACAACTAATTAAAATATTCAATCAGAAAGATCAACATTAAAAATGACAATTAGTCAACTCAGATCAACTCAATATATATATAAAAGGAAAATAGTAACTATTACAAAGAAAATTTAAAACTACAGAATAAACCTCTGCAGTTTACATCTTGAGCTATATACATATTTTAACACTCTATATAACCAGCTGCTGCCTCTGTTCTCTTGAGTCATCATTAGAGGTTATCATTCTCTCTAGAATGCCACTGCCCATCTGAGTTCCTTAACTAGTCTATCTAAGTGGGATTCTCACTAAGAATAACATCAGAGCTACTCAGTTCTAGTTAAATCCTCTAACCTTCCAGCTGTCAATCTCAGCATTCCAGCCTATCAATTGGCTGTCATGGCCTTGCTTGCACTAATCATCTAGTGGTGCCTAGGCCTCGCCTCACCTAGATCCTCACTAGGCCCGGGGTGCCCTTATCGGGTAGTTTTTATCTCTTAATTCCCCGGAATTTAGAGGTGCCTAGATGGTAGTGGGTGAAGTGGCGGTGAATCCCTGGCCAGTTAAGCTTGACAATGATTCACTATCCTGCGGGTTTCTCCACCCCACACCTTACCTATCCAGTACTGATCTAACTTGAAGCACTCAGGGGGTTCTAGCCCCACAAGATCAGTGAGAATTTAGCGCCCGGTTATAGCCAGCACCTTAAAAGGGGCCGGTTACACCCGGTACTGTTTGGTGATTTAACAGTGGAAATTGGTTAAATGAGCCCTGCAGGATTCGAACCCGCGCCCCTTCTGGGACACCAAGTGAGTAGTTAACTGCTACGCCACCGGGCCTAATGCTTTGATAACACAAGATAATTTCAAACATTTTTTCTGCTGATTATGAGATATAGTAGACAGATGCTGTGGATCACAGATGTTTGATTGTGAACAAGCTGATAAAGTATTGATATCAGTGGTTTTAAATTCTGAAGAAGTATCAATAGATTCAAGATCTGTTAAATCACTATCTGATGTCTCATATTCATCATCTAGATCATTGAGAGAGTGTAGTGATTGTTGAGAGAATTTATTTTCAAGTGATAAAGAATATTGATTGAACTGCATCTGATGTTGAATGTCTTGAGATTCAAAAGACATAGTGTCTTTGGTCAATGATTGTGGCATGATGAGAAGAGATAGCAAGTTGCAAAATAGCAGAGATGATAGTGAGATGACTAAGGATTCAAAAAATGTTGATTTGATGATGATCAGACAGATATTTAAGATAGATGTATGATTCTGAAGTCAACTGAATATTTTATATGAGTGGGTTTGATTTTCCACAGACAATGGAACTGTTTCTTCTCAGACTCTCTACAAGATATTATATTGTGAGTATGTGCAGAGTAATTGATTGGTCCAGAAGTTAGCAGGACTTGGCAGAAGTCTAAAGGAGTTTAGTTGATCACGCTAATCTGAAAATATCGAGAAGAGAGGCTGAGCATGCTGAGATAAATCTGATCCACGCAAAAGCGGGGGCTGAACCCACTACCGCCTCCCTAAAAAATAAATAAAATCCATCCGGAAGCAAGCAGAGAGGGAGGAGGAGGAGACAGAACTACCAAATATCGCAAAGTCTGCCGATGGCTCAACTTGAGAAGTGTGATGAATTTCGCCTATTACAGGCCCTGAGTGACCTGCTGGACGGCAGACAAAGCCCACATCGGCCATTTCAGCAAGGCACCACCCATTGGTACTTTGAGCATGAGCTTCGTCGAGCCTTGGAGTGTAGGGATAGTTGTCTTGAGTTTAAGTTGGCTGATTTCCTCCATGTTAAAAAAAGTTTTGTTGGACTGTGTGAGCGACTGGACAGACTGGTGCAGCCTTCGATACGGAGTTACGCGGTGGACGATTCATTGTGTGAATACCCCAACTTGTTAGCGTTAAAGATATTCTTGGAGCATCCGACACGCTCAAGGACTTTCAGCATGGCTAGTGGGCCACATCTAACACTATTCAGGTCTCCCCAAGATCCCCAGGAACTATACACAGAGTTAGATTCACTAACAGTGGCGAATGATGCTGTGGTCTGCGCGCTGAAGACTGCTGCAATAAATTTAACGGGCGCCTCTCCAGACGCGGATTTCTATATATACAAGGATACTACAACACGGGATCGAGTTGTAACTGTTCTGAAGACCCTTTTCCAGAGTTTCCAATGTGAAAATCACGAAGTCAGGTTGGGGCTACCAGACAACCTTAACACGGTCACATCGCGCCAGCGAATTCATATGTGGTTGTCTCTCTGCTTAAATCCAGGAAACTGGCAAGAAGCGCTGTGTGATCCACACGAGTACGTCTCACGGCTATTCCAAAATAAGCAGCAGTACTTAACTCAGCTTGTAGGGGCGGAGGCTTGTTCAATTGTACCGAAAATATCTGCAACCAGCTACAAGATCATTCAAATCATGGCAAGCGATTGCGTTTAGTTATAAACAGAGATGAGGTAGTCGGAACTTGGCACAGTACTCTATCAGAAATCAGTGCCGATCCATCATCTGCAGTATCACTCGAGCAGATGATTCGTATGGCACCAGAAGACAGGTTTGCCCTATACAGGGAGAAGCAACTTTGGGCTCTTCAGCTGGGTTACTACCTTCTCGATTTCTATGATACGCAGTGGGACTCTAAAAATATTCTTATTATGGAATCTACAGAATCCCGCAATGATGGAGGGTTGCTTTATCTATCCTTTTCCTCAGCGCTTCCGGCGTCACCAGAGCTTCTGACCTTCGCCGTGGGGCACCCAGTTTTCGTATCCTTCGCAAAGATTCTCCTCGAAATCTATACCGCAGCGGACTTGCACATCGAAATTAGCCCATGTGACAGAAAAGAGAACTTCAAACCCATATCCGAACTATGGCAGATCGTTGAAAAATTCACAAGCTTTCAGCAAGGTGATAATTCACGCTACACTCTTCGGCCAGACGATTATTATTTCCGCGCAGTACAAGGTTGTTTAAGAGTTCATAAACACATCGCTGACGCATTGAAAAGAAACATGCCAGAAAGAGAGGTGACCATTGCAATACGGGAGAATATATACAGCCACGTTGTCAGTAACCTAGAGCGTGCCTTGGATATATGGCGAGGGAGGATTAGGAAACGACGTCGATCCGATTCTGTTCTTCCGAACCCTACTGTCTACAACAAGACAGGCGAGTCGAGAGCGCGAGATAAGAGTACCATTACCGCCGTTCCATTGGCCTACCCTACTGTCGAAAAGGACGCAATTGCAGTCCCCCCTGAGGAAGTGTTACCACCCAAAAAGAGGAAACGGCTGCTTGACTTAGGCACGGAACTTAATTCAAATCCATCATCTTGTAATTCAACCGCAATGCGTCCGTGCATAACGTTCCTTATTATTTCCATACTTCATTCTCCTTACTGACATTTCTACCCTCAGCGAATATGGCAGAGCGATTTAAAGCACTTCCACCTCAGATTCATTTTGATTGTGCAGTTTCCACGCATCCGGAAGCTATAGCGTAAGACGAGGGCATTTATTTGTTACATTTTTTGTGTCGTTCCAAAACCTCCGCTAATGAAATTACGTCCACAGAGCAAGCGCACAAAAGATGGAATCGCTAATACGTTTTCGAGAGGATATTTTGCCTTACTCGGCAACAAATCGGGATTTACAGCCAGTTCGAATAGCGATCATCGACACGGGTGTAGATATTAATCATCCCTATATATCGCACGGTTACGCACCAGAACGCAATGAGCCGGCGAATGTGGAGTTCCGTGACTATTCAGGGGCGGCCTCGCCCGTGCCAATTGATGAAGATGGGCATGGGACCTTCATTGCCGGTATTTTACTCCAACTCGCGCCGAACGCGGAGCTTTTTGTTGCTCGGATTGGACATACCAAAGACTCGATAGCGACTGATCCATCCGTGGATGCCAAATTGGAGCAAGTGAGCGTGTCCAGTTGTTAAGAATTTTTGTTCTGCTCATGGATAACTAAATGGTGGCACTTAGGCTATCAAAGATGCCGTACAGTCGGACACTGACATAATATCAATGTCGTTCGGTCTCGATCAAGTGACCAGGAATTTGCGCGAGGCCATTAAACTTGCCCTGAGCAAGGAGATAATCCTACTTGCCTCGGCGGGAAACTCAGGCAACAATCAGAGATTGCAATATCCAGCTCGGGAAGACCGTGTCTTCAAAATTTTCGCAACGGACCAATATGGCTACAAGGTTCGCATATGTCCTCCAGTAACTGAACCTCGGTACTCCTTTGGAATATTAGGCTGCAATGTCGAGTCCATATGGCCTATCGGTATACAGCCACCTGCTCGCTCTGCTAGGACAACCGAACACGAACCCTGGACAGTCATGACTGGAACGTCGGTGTCAACCCCAATTGTCGCCGCACTGGTGGCAATTATATATGAATTCTACGACAAGAACAGATCGCTAATAGATTTGGGCGAGCATAGTGCTGGCCTCAAAACGATCAGTGCCGTACGTGAAATATTAGAATCGATAAGTTGTGTCTCTGACGAGCATAAATACAATTATTTGATTCCTGAGATCGGACACTACAACCCAGAAATGTTTGCAGTCAACGAGAAACACGGCAGTTTTGATCGGATATCCTTCTTCGCAAATAAGCTAACAGAGATTATCCGCAAATCTCAAGTGTAGTGCTCCGGTGCCAAGACGGAAATTCCTTGACAAAACAGCCCTTCAAATGCAGCCCTCTTTCCCTAGTGTCAACCTATTGTTGCCTGGATCATCAAGCACTGCTCTCCATCACAATCATCAACACCGTTGATTTTAACATCCCTTTTCGGTAATAAGGCCCCAAAGTCCTCTGCCTCATATTTCACACCACCGATTTCGTATTCAGCATCTTTCTCGGCTTGGCTGCGTATTCTCTCGCGCAGAATATTCGAATCCCCGGCGCTATTCAAGTCTGCACCTCCGAGGTGCTCTCCTAAAGAATAAAGCTTAGGATACCAGCTAATGTGGAGTTTGCGCAATTGATACGCGAACACGAAGCTATCTTGCGGCGTGCCCTGTAAATGGATATCTCCAGCGGTATTATACCCCGCCTCGGCCCCAATTTTCGCCGTCGGAACCCCTCCTGTCCCGGGATCGAGGGCCACCGTGGCCTCGAGCTTTGCCGCGATGTCCCTTTCAGCTACAGCATCGTAAGTGGCTTTGCCAGGCTTGATAGCCGTCTTTATCCCCGTAATCATATACACCGTTCCCCCAAACAGCCGGTTCTCCATTAACCACTTCGACACCGCCGGAACCTGCGTGGCGGTTTGCTGCACGTATTCTGGATTTTCATCTAGCTCGATGAAGCTCGTCTCCAACAGTGTGCCTTCCCATTTGCTCGTTTCTTTCTGAGAGTGTTTAGCCGATACTTTCGCCGTCAGGAGCCCGAGCATATGCGCGAAAACCCCTGCGTTGGCGGCGCTGCTGTCGACCCAGGAGGCGCTCCACTCCGCAACCGCTGCTTTGCGAGGAATAAGCTTTCCCTCAAGCGGGAGCGGTTCAGCGAGACGCTGGTATGGAATTCTGGGGTTTGCGATAACTTGCCCCAGCTTGATGAGATCATTTGGAGCGTACGCTGTCGTAGGAAGAATGAAATAAGTCTTCGGATGAGACATTGAGACGGGCTCGATCTGATGGGCTCAGGAGCTCTTTATATATATATATATATATATTTATAAGTTGTATATGAAAACTAAAATCCCTACACTGGATGGGCGCGACTTGTTGGTATGCGATGCCTCCACAAACGCACACACACACACACTCTCTCTCTCTCTGTCGATGGAATTTTTTTCTCTTGAGATGTCAGTTGATGCGGGGTAAATGCCATCTCTTTTTCGAGCTGGCTGACAACAAATAACCCTGCTCTTGAATTTTCGGCAAGACCTCTGCTGAAAAATGAGGGGTAGGCAGGGCACGACAGCCACCGTGGGCGGGCGGCCTATCAAATAGACGCATTTCCCAACATCTGCGGCATACCGTACATGGTAAGTCATATTGAGATGCGCAAGACCCGTTTCGGCAATGCACCACTACTACTGATGACCAGGTGGAGGGGAATGATGGTCTTGATCCAGCCAGCCATTGATCATGGCACAGCGACATCTCCAGCCATACAGCGTCAAGTCAAGTGCACGGGGACACGACAGGCGAGCTGAGTCTGAACAGTTTTTGGGTGGGGGGCTGCCAATCCCTGGCCTCGAACCGTACCCGAAGCCCACTTCAATTGCCTGCCCTAGACATAAATAGCTATACTAACTTGCCGTAGTGAACCCTCGACGATCACGATAGGTAAGCGAGCCAGCAAGTCGGGAATTTGAACCGCGGTCAATCAGTCCGCGCAGTGCGGAGGTGGGGGAGGAATCCCTTGCACACGCTACGGTAAGTGGTTTTTTTTTTTGTAAATCCAGCGAACCTTGCAAATAAATATACATGGCGATCTCCACGCATCCGTTATCACAAAAAGAAAGGTAAAGCTCGGGAAAATGCAATTTTGGAAAGGACATCAACAATAGCATATCATATCTTCCACAGCACAACATCAGATATTTATTACTCCATGCAAAGACGGATGGATGGTCATTGGCGGTGATTGGCGGCGATTGACTCCCCTGCAAAGCCACAGGCGGTTATTCGGGTAACCTACCACCAGCGCCAACGAGGCTTGAAAAAGTTGATCAGGCGGTCGTTCTGTCGCTTGTCCGGGCATACATACTGCATAAACCGCTGCTATGAAGCATGCCAGGCCAGAAGAAGAAATCGCTTGACTGATTTTTTAACTCCGGGCCCCCGCAGTGCTGCATACAAACCCAGCAGGCCAAACAAGAAAAAAAAGGGTTGGAGTTATAGGTACGGAGTACAGATGACCACCCTAAAAAAATAAGGCTAAAAATGACGCAAGATAGCGCTTTGCTCAGAAAAGAAAGAAGCTAAAAAGAAGCCCAAAGAAACAAGCAAAGAAAAGAAAAGAAAGAAAAAAGAAATTTAAGCCCCATCCATCCTCGCTAACTAGCTATTTAGTTATAGATGGGTCGGGTTACAGCATGTTCAAACCCAACCCTCACAATAACCAGGTTATATGCAGAGGTGCAGTCACTCAGCCATCAACATCACTGCATATAACCTGATTATTGCTGGTGTGTGTTCAATTTCATGTTCATATATACAGAATACTTGTATTTAGTAAGAGAAATACTATTAAATTCAGATATATATGACTTTGCATACAGAAAGTTATATAATCACTAGCTAAATGATCTGCTTGACTTCACTTCTACTAAAGAGCTACTGATTTCAGACACTGTATAGAAGTGCAAGTCAACTGTCTGAGTGTTGTACACAGTCTGTATAACTAGGTCTAACTCTATAATAATAATATATATACATCTATAATAATAATGGAGAAATGAAGATCAAAGAGAGAGAACAGAACAGAACAGAACAGAAAAATAAAAGCTTTGTACATACTCTATTTAATGAGAATAGAATTATTCTATATATCAGATTGAGTATTATGACTTATATCATCTGCTGCTGATGCTTGTAGCTGTGGTGACTGTCTATTATAAAAATCATCATATATATCAGACTGATCTGCAGAGCTGTGGAGAGAGCAGTATACTGTATAATCACATCATTTGCAGTTAACATATACTTCTTCAAAGTGACTGTACACACAGTGACACAATGAAAATAGTTTAAACTCAGAGAATGTATGACACTGTGTACAGTCTGTGACAAGAGTTCTATCACAGAATTGAATCAGAATGGTATTGATGTACAATGAACAATGAGACAACACTTGATCAGCTCTGATACATATATAAATGTATAATATATCAAAGTCAGAGACAGCAAGCAGAGCACAGAATTGAAAACTATGATAAAATATACTCAGCTGAAAATTGCTGGTATATATTGTGTCATACTCTGACTATTTCTATCACTCATCTTGATATTCAGCAGCTGGATGATATGAGTCAATCAACTCAGTCTGAGTCAGATTTCACTGAGTGATAACAGAATTATATAGAATAAGAGCTCTTGTATTATAATCAGCTTTCTATACTGTACAGTAGAGAAGCAGAGAAATACTTACATTGTTCACAGAGAAAAGAGAGAAAGAGAACACTGTTGAAGAATAGAAGAGAGCTGATCTTCTTTTTTATAAAAAAAAAAAATTGAAAATCTTCTCTGATTACATACACAAGTCTCTGTCAGTGTTCTTTTTCTTTGATATAATGAAATAGACATCTCATGCAGTATACAGAGTGGGAAAAAGACAGAGTGAACAGTGAATAAGTGATCTTAATGAATTTCAATAAGAGAATGATGAATTCTGATGCAAAAGAGATTATATATATCAGTGAATGATGATGAAGAAGCTGAAGAGAGAAAGAGAAAAGAAGTTGAGAAGAAAGACAGAGAAAAAGAGGATTTTATAATTAACTTATTGTTATTGTCATCATGAATGAAAGAGGAAAGCAGAAATGTCTTATATACAAAAGAGAAAAGAGAGAAAGAGAGAATACTCATCCTTGTGAATTCTGCTGAGACAGTCTGTGTGTATAAATAAATAAATACTCAAGATTAAAAGATATATAATATAGTATAGTTAATATACACAGATTATCTTCTTGCTCTTCTGAGGAAGACAGAGAGCTTATTCAGACTCATTCTTAATCATACATATATCAACTCAAGTTTCTCTATAATCTCTAGAACAGATCTTAATTTCATTGTACAGTGACAGCTGAGTATCTCATCAATGATTATCTTTCATTAGAAAAAGAATATGCACTCACTATTCTTCTTTCTTCAGCTAGACTCATACAATGACTTCAGATGCTGTATAGAGAACTATTCATTCAATCTCTATTCTCATTTCTTTCAGAGATTATTGATTAATTGAATTGTATGAAAGAGCTGATATATTTAAATATCATTCTCAGTTGACAATGCTGTAGCAGAAGTGGTGACAGCAGCAGCAGCAGTTGATAAAGAGAAGAATAAAGATACAGATGCAGAGATAGAGGGAATTTTAACAATATCTTTCTGTATATAGACAGAAACAGAGACAGGCTGAAAGATTCAGAATTCAGTTGTTATTATATCAATTCCACACTGAATTCTATCAATCTTCTTCTTCATTTGTATATCTCTGATTTTTATCTGATCTGCCACCACATTGATCTGTCTCTATACAGTGCTCAGATTTTCAGAAATCTGTGACACTGACTATTGAAGTATTATCTTCTGTGAAGAAATGAGAACTGACTCTGCAGTCTGTACAGTATCTGCAAACTGCTTATACTCTGCATACTGAAACACTGAGTTGATTCACAGTGAATGAGTTGGAAATTCTCTCTGAAGAAGAGTAGAGTTCTGTAGTATCACTGTATAAAGATAATCTAACAGCTGCAAAAACCTTTGAGCTGTAAGATCATCTGAGTCAAATGAACTTTCACTATCAAGCAGCTTCAGATTCATATCAGAGATCTCAGAAGAAGTAATATAAGAGAATCTGTTCTCAGAATAAAATCAGATAAATCATTCATTCATTCATAATCAGAGAGATTTCTTCAACAGCTCTGATGAAGTGACTGTAGCTTGTGAAAGATGATAATTATTTGGCAAGCTAGAATTGAACTCTGTAATTCTCTGTATGAACTTCTGATTGATCTGACTGAGATAGCAGCTGATCAAAGAGTCATTATTTCATTGCTCAGCTCTGTAGATGCTATTCTCATTCATCTCATTAAGCTCTGCCTTCTGTACATCTGTGGATTATCTGATGTGAGTCTTCTTTGTCATCTCTAATATATCTATATATATAAAGAGTTTGTTTATTCACTTGAGATGAGTTCTGTAGAAGATCTGCTTGTATAAATTCTCACTCTTGAGTAAGTGAATATTGTATCAGAGCTGATAATAGTAGAACTGAGGCAGAGGCTTCTGTACAATATTTCATCTATAGAATAGATAGAATACAATCTGTAATATTAAACAAAGAATATAATTCTTATACTGTATAATAGTTGAATATTCAAGTCTGTTGTTCTGATTTGTCTTGTCATTACTTATGATCTGAATAAGAGATTAGTAGAGTATTGATCTCTCATTTAACAGCTCAATTGTAAACAGATCAGTCAACTGCATCTCTTATCTGAACTACTCTCTTAGCAGTATATGATGACTCATGAGAAAGTCAGCTGCTGTATGAAGAAGAGGCTCAACTGTATATCTTTCATCTCTCTATCATCTCTCTCAATACTGATGTATAAAGTTCATCATATTCAGCTCAGTATAGCTGTTCATCAGAGTGTCTATATCTCTGTTTATAAACTCTGTATATCTCTGTATATACTCTATAGATCTGTGAGTCTTTAATATATTATTCAAGATCTGATCAACTGAGTGAGAATGAGAGTTCTTCTATCTGCTCTACTATATATAATACAGATCAATAAAAGCTGCTTGATATTATTTGATCAGATTCTCTTCTATTATCTGTACAATCTCTTCTCTCTCAGTATTTGTATACTTTCTTTTGAAATAATCTTCTCTGAGTGAATGATTGAAAACTCTCTTATTAAAGAATCAGATTGTCTTCTGCTCAGAGACAATCTGATTATCTGAAAACTTCTTTTCATTATATTATTTTTATTGTACAGATAGTGAAGATTGAGCAGCAGTGAGAAGTTAGTCTATCAAATTTCATCTCTCTTCATACACAGAAATAAAGAAGAAATAGAAATAAAATAAATCTATATATTACTATTCATTCATTCTGCTTTTCTGCATACACTATCTGTGTATTCTTTGATCTGCTTTGTCTGCTGATTCTCAGTGTATTCTCTCTCTGTGCTGTCATCTCTATAATAAAATCATGCTGTAGCTGCTTTCATGCAGCAGCTGCTTCAATAGCAGTATCAGCAGCAGAGATCATTATCAGTCTTTCTCACTTATATGAAGATGCAAGAATTTCAAAGTAGATGGATAAGAATAAGAATAGTTAAGAATAGAAATCAATACAAAAGCAGAGGAAGAAGAATACAGTAGTGGGGTGATAATTATTAAATACATATTCAGAGAGGGGCTGATACAGTCATTGTATGTAATATTACAGAAAAGTTACCTCTTTTATATGATCAAAGAAGATAGCTCATCATATGGAACATGTATGGGTTATTCAGGGGCCTTGGCTGAACACCATAGGAACACGTGTTCGAACACAGGCAAATCCATCTTCATATAACCACTAGTTAAACTCACCAACTTACCAACTTACCAACTGAACTTTAAAAACTAAACTTACTTTTAACTTAACTACTCTGCACTTGTTCACGAACGACTTACCCCACACTCAAAACAAAGTAGGGACCGAAAAACGAAAAAGAAAAAAAGAACGAAAAAAAGTCGTCATAGGTTTTCCCCGCACGTCAACTATCAACTAACAATCTACATCAACCCGATCCCAGATCCCATAGATATAGACATAGACATAGACAGATCATATCGCTCAAACAGTCCTTCCACGCTAAGCCCCGCTCCCCAACAACCCCGTGTGAGGCATCAATATCTATATAACTCCTATCACCCATCACCGTCATCATACATACCATAGCACCATATCATACATATCGTATATATAATGCCATAGAAAAGGAAAGAAAGGAAAAAAAGAAAGAAATATTCCGATGATGTCGATTACCAATTACCGATTACCGACGCTGGACGCCCCCGTTAGTCAACATACATACATACCCCTCCGAACCCCCGTACCCGTAGTCAATTTGGTAGTTAGTTAGTTAACGTAACTTGCTTAACTCTACCAGCCAACTACAGTTATCCAGCGCATCCAGAGACAGCCGTTGAATAAATCGATCAATAAACTACTCACCCTTCTAAAGTATGTACAGTACCTGAAGTACGGAGTAGGAGTAGGAGTTAGATAGATAGATATGTCCAGCTAGACTCTTGACTCTTGACTATTTATTGGCTACGCTATACATACATACAAGGAATACAAATGAATATACGAGATGAATCCATACAGTATACGATGAACACAACGAACCTAACCTACCCTAACCGAGCCCTGGCCTGCCCTCCCCTCCCCTCCCTTCCCTTCCCCCTGTCGACAAATCGGGGCTGTGGGGTAGAGGGGGTATAACGAACAATGAACAAGGAGTTTAACTACACACAACACAACACACACACACACACACACATATATATATATATATATAGACAGACAGTGCTACGCAAAGAAGCTTGAAAACCTTTGCGACTTCGAACCAACAACATACACCAGCCCCAAAGTAATTTTAGTACTCACACTGCTTTTATTGCCTGCAACTGTAACTAGCTCTGATCCGACGATTCTGATCTGACTAATCAATTACATGCTGTGAAGATAAGATATTTGCATTTGAGTGAGGGCTTGCGCAGCGGAATTCTCTCTCCCTGCCTCGGGCCATAGATTAGTAGTAGATGAGTGCGATGAAGAAATAGAACCGGTAGGATGACAACACCAGCACCTATAAGGAGATGATATAAAAAGGGTATAGAAAAGATTTTCATATTCATAATTCATTGCTTTGAAGAAAATGTGTGGGAAAGAAAGATGATAGAAAAATATATTATATGAGTAGATGAGTCTGATTTGAGTGTCACATGATAATATAACTAACGACTGACTAACTACTTATGTGTTAAATTACTTTGGAAATAGTGTATATTGATTGGAAGTTACAAGAGTTTCAAACTTCTTGCGTTGCACTGGATATACAATTCAATAGTACCAGCAGCAGCAGCAACTGTAGTAGCGTAGAATGAAAGAAAGAAAGAACTAAAGGGATCAACACCCCACCCACCAACCCACAAGCTCCCCACTCCGCGTGGGAGGTAGGTGGTTCCGATCCGATGGAATCTCACAATGAAGCGGGGTGAGAGAGATGTATACATGAATGTTATGTATGTATGTATGTATGCAAGGATAACTTTTGTCCTGGAGTTACTATACGTAATTTTCTTTTATATAGTTATATATACATAAACATAAATATATATATATATATATATATATATGTAATGTTCTTTTATATACTGGTATGGGGTGTGGTTGGTCATGAGTGAAATTAAATTAAAGAAGAGGGCAGACGGAACGGGGGGATCAATCAACGTGCAAAACATGTTTAGAAGAGGGAGAATGAAATAAACAAAGTAAAAAACGTGAAAAGCACCATGGGTGTGTGTGATGGGCAGAACAATAAACACGCACACGCACACGCACACACACACACACACACACTAGAGAGGTCAGTGCTTCTCCTTCATCTGCTCCGTTTCCTCGACGGTCTCCTCAACAGCGCTGGTCTGGATTTCGACGGGGGGCAGGGTGACGCCGGGGGGCGAAATGCTCGACCTTGCGCCGGCGGTCGGCGGGGAGGAGGACGCTCAGCGAGCCGCGGGACGACCAGACCCATGACAACGAGTAGCATAACGACGTTCGCATATGAGAATTCCGAAAAAGAAAAAGCGAATTTTTTCCCAGCTTTTTGGACCATTCTTTTAGCACAAGCGGTCGGCGAAGCCCCAGGATAGGGCGCCCAGAATGGGGCTGAAAATGGTCTTACCACCCGGCGCCCATGTCCCCAGGTTTCCCCCCATTTTTTCGCCCGATGCGGAGCCCTTTTGAGATTTCGGTGGCCATTGTGTCGACAGGGGTGAGAAAATTTTAATTTTTTTTTTTTTTTTGTGGGGGTGTGTGCATGATGGATCCATGGGCGGGATGAGGGTGGGCCGGGGGAAACGCTTTCTTTCTTTCAAAATCTTCCGGAGTAGAATGCCAGCCACTAGAACCGCCCAAGCAGCGGGGTGTTTCCCCAGAAACGCCGAGCGCGAGTGTCCGGGTTCTTGGCCAGGACCAGAGCAATAACAGAGGTGGCGATGAACAGACCAAAGCCCATGATTGCCCCATTCAGGGGGTAGCGCCATGACCGACGCCAATGCCGAGAATAATGGCGACGACGTAGCCGATGTTGTAGATGAGGAAGGGGATTCTGCCGACTTGGCCGACGACTTCCTTGTAGCGGTAGAGGGTGGTGACGGCGATGCACTCGGAGAAGGCCATGAAGAGGAGCGAGAAGTTGTTGAGCCAGGTGTCGACGGCGTCGAGGAGGTAGAAGCCGAAGCGAGTGCAGTAGAGGAGCGTTAGGAGGAAGGAGATGGTGATGACGATCGTGCAGACGATGGTACGTGGGACCTTTTTGCCCCAGTCGGTGTCGCAGATAAGGGTGACCACGGACTCGACGAGGGCGTAGGCCGAGCTGAGACCGACCAGCATGATGGTGAAGAAGAACACGACGCCCCAGAAGGCGGACGCAGGCATCTCGGAGACGGCCAGCGGGTAGGTCAGGAAGCCGACGGTGAAAGTCCCGAGCTTGTCACCCGCTTCAGGCTTCAGGCCGAGGAAGCCGACGATGCCGAAGACGGCGAAGGCACCGATGACCTCGTAGGCCGAGTTGGAGCAGGCAACGATGATGGAGTCCTGGACGGCATTGGCGAAGGTGGGATTGTAGGAGGCGAAGGCGGTGAAGTAACCGAAGCCCACGCCAGTGGAGAAGAAGATCTGGCCAGCGGCGGCCTGCCAGATCTGCCCGGAGGACAGCTTCCAGCTGTCCCAGTGGGCCACGTACATCTTGATGCCCTCGACGGCGTTGGGGAGCGAGACACCGCGGCCGAGGAGGACGAAGATCATCACGATGGGCAGGCCCATAGTGACGTAGACGACGCGGCCGGAGAGGCCGACGCCCTTGAACATGCAGAGGTAGACGACGAACCAGACGAAGGCGGCCCAGCCGACGGTCTCGCCGACGAGGCCGGTGCCCGGGTAGCTGGCGTACTTGAGGACGGACTTGCCGTCGTCAGAGTACTCGCCGGGAACGGGGGCGATGTTGGCGATGACGTCCTGCATGTAGAACTCCTGGCCCCTGCCGGCCCAGGCCTGCGGGGTGTAGAAGGCGTGGCGGAAGTAGATCATGACCCAGGCGAGGATGGCGACGTAGTAGGTGCACACCATGTAGCCGGTGAGGATGGTGCCGATGCCAACGCCGCGGGCGTGCTTGCTGATGGTGTTGAAGGCGATGACGCCGCCACCGCGGGCGGCCTGGCCGATGGAGATCTCAAGGATGAGCAGCGGGATGGCCAGGAAGATGAGGGAGATGAAGTAGGGGAGGAACCACTGCAGGCCGTTGTTCTCGAAGACCACGGAGGGGTATCGCAGGATGTTTCCAAGGCCGACAGCGCCGCCCATGGCTGCCAGCACGAAGGAGGCGCGGTTGGGCCATTGGTCACGGCCGTCGGCGGCCTTTTGGGCGTCCGGGGCGAGGACGTTGAGGACCTTTTTGAAGACGCTCATGGTGGGCGAATTGGGGGGCCCTTTTGGGGGGAGCAGGCCACGTGCTATTGGAGCGAAGCTGGGAAGGGAGAGGGAGAGGATCCTCGAAGCATGGAGGAGGAGGAGGAGGAATAGGCGGGAGGACGGGCAGCAGGAGAGAGAAGAACAAGAGCGCGGGAGAAACAGGGCAGCGCCAGGCTTAAATGAAGAAGCGGCAGAAGGGGAAGAAGTGACAGAAGAAGTGACAGCAGCAGGGACAGGGACAGGACAGGGAACACGGCCCTGGCAAGGGGGAGTGAGACTGGGGCGGTTATATAGGGAGAGGATAGAGGAGAGTAGGAGGAGAGGAGTAGTAGTAGGAGTAGTAGGAGTAGGAGTAGTAGTAGGAGTAGTAGGTAGTGGACTATCCAATACCTATATCCAATACCGTAGAATACCAAAGATACCCAGTAATACCGAATCCTCCCGCCAAGCCCCACGGTTGCAACCGCCAAGCCCGACCCTGGTCCGTTCCTTCCTCCCCCCGCACCGCAGCGGAGCGGGGGCCAATCTGGGCAGGCGCAGTGGAAGGAGGACAGGGAAGGGACTGGGGAGCAGCTGCCTTGGGGCCGGAGCCAAGCTCGTATCAGCATCAGCAGCGCGGGGATGTATTGTAACGTGTGTGTATCTGTCCATGTATCGTGGATGTATCTTGGATGTATCTCGTGCATCTCTTCGTGTGCATTCTCTTGTCTCCCCGATCGAACCACGGATCGCCGGTAACTCGCCATCGCAGCCATGGTAGCCGTGAAGGTTGGCTAGCCGGGTCCCAGCATTCCAAACCTTACCCTTCGCTTTCCCCTTCCTCGTCCCTCGAATCTGGAAAAATACAGCGCGAGAGACCAGAATACGAGACCCGGACCAGTGGTCCTACCGGGGGCCCAAAGGGACCCACTCCACTCCACTCCACTCCACGATAAAGATTGAACCTGAGATATCCTCGGCTGCCAAGGCTCCGTCCATGTTCTGGCAGGTTTGGCAGGTTTGGCAGCTGGAGTTGCCCCAGTTGGCTCTCCTTCTCTTCCTCCCCCCCAAAAAAGATACACAGTTAGCGAAACGGGTTCGTTAAACGAACGAATCAACTCTAGTGAGTGAGTTAGTTGAATAAAAACCAAGTTAAATTCTCCCATTCCCATCGTTACAAGAAAAAAAAAAAAAACCAAGAACTCGGGGTCCCCATCCAAGAGGCCGTTTTTCCCTGGTTATTCCCGGCAAAATTCCAGTTAACTCTTTGATATTATTGGCAATCATTTCCAACAATCCCATGATCCAACCATCTATGGGATGATCCAACAGCCAAGGCTCCACTCACTCACCCTCCCTTTTAGCACGGTGGGAACGGTGGATCCGGGCCTGTGGCAAGCGGGGGTAAGTGAGAATGAGATTAGAATATGATATGTATGGAGAAAAAAAGAAAAGGTCGCCCCCCCCAACATTTGTGCCCACGCGACGCCTGATGATCATGGTGATCATGATGACGATGATGATGATTGGTGGTGGTGGTGGTGATGACTCGCCGAGAAACGCCTGCTGCTACGGCTGCTACTCTACCTCCTGCCATGACTTGCATACAGGGGGGGTGTGTTGGTTTGTTGGATGTGGGAGCGAAGGAAAATGACAGCAAAATAAGCGCCAAGCAGGTTGCGCTCTTCTCTCTTCTTTTTTCTTGTCTGGGCAGGACACTACATTGTTCTTCGCTTTTCGCTTCCTCTTTTACGCTTTTTTAATTACTTCCTCCTACGAACAAGAATACGGGGGAACGACGGGGGAGATGCGCTTTATCTCGGCCACTCCGGTTAATCATGTGATCATCACGTTCCCCCCCCCTTTTCCCTCCGTCGCTTGCCTTTACCGGGTCTTGGTAGCCGAGCTGAGAGCCGGGATTGGAGAAAAAGGGGGGGTGTGTCAGGAAAATATGGAGAACGTAAAAAAACACCCGGAGAAGGTAGGATGGAAAATGGAAAATGGCAAAAATAGCAAAAAAAAAAAAAAAAAAAAAAAAAAGTAAAACGACGGTCCTGTGTCGGAGGGGCCAATCAGCGGTCGCCCTCGTCCAGAGAAGATCCGCTAAAACTAGTCCAGTGCGCTAGACCCGATCGGGCAGCTCCGTTGGACCTGAAGTTTCCTAAGGAGGATGATGGGGGATGGAGGATGAAGTAACTGGATAGATGATTGAAAGATTGGGATTGGAAGTGACGTTTTTATCGTGACAGAACTGAGTGAGCGTAGATGTGTAGATACTGTATCGCCTCACTTATCTCATCAACTTCTCACAAACGGGATCCAAAAAAAAAGAAAAAAAAAAGAGATTAAAAAAAGATGAAAAGATGAAAAAAGCGCAAGAGAGAGATAAAACGAGAGAGAGAGAGAGAAAAAAAAAAGACACCCTAGAATTTTCTATACATGAGCTATGTATATGTATATGTATATGTACATATGTACCGGCGCAGCTACTTCCTCTCGAACTACGCATGCACATACAACCTCCAATGCATGCATCGCCGGCCCGCCGCCCCTGGAGATCGTCGTGCAAGTTACTCTGAACCCTGGTCAAACCAAACCAAACCAAACTCTTCCCCCGCATCATCATACATCACAGGTGGGAAAAGAAAAAAGAAAAAAGAAAAACCAAATAAAAAAACAAATAAAAATAAACCGCGGATCAGGACAGGGGGGTCCGGGATGGAGAAAGAAGGGCGCGCGCCGGAACAGTTTTTTCCACACTTGCAACGCCTGCTGCACGCTGCACGCTGCACGTTCCAAGCCAAGCGCTGCCACCCGGAATGAGAGAGGGAGGAGGATGGCAATAAATAAATATCCATCCAACCCACTCTAATTGTCGTCTGTGTGTGGTTCGGGCAGGGCAGCGCAGGGCGGGGCCAGAGTGTGAGGATTCCCGCCGCGAGTTCCCCCCCTGGTAGAGCTAGAAGAAGGAAAAACCGGTTGGTGCCCGGGAAGTGGAAGTTACACCTGGTTTCCACTGGGGATGATCGTAGTTTGTCTCCTGCGCCGCACCGGATCGGACCGGACTCGTGGGTGCCCGCGGTGGGGCGTATGTATATACTGCGTGTGTGTATGTGAATAATTGCTTTTTTGTCGGGGAATGTTTCCATCCCGGCAAGGGACGCTTGACGATTGACGCTTGAAACACAAGCACAGGCACAGGACAAGCATATGGACAGAGCAGGCAGGGCCATGTCCAGTCCCGGACATTTGTACCATAGTGAACCCCCCTCCCCCGGGAAAAAGTGGGTACACATTCTGGTCTCTTCCACCGCCCCTGCTCGCCCGACCCATGATTCGAGGCCATCGCGGTTGGGCGTTCAAGGCATATAAGGTGTGAAATCCGGGAGGAGATACAGAGAGGACTCGATGGTTTTTGCCGCGCGCGCATCAATCGCAGCTTGGTGCAGAAGGTGTAGCCTTTGGTCACGCTCTCTCTCTCTCTCTCCACCCCCTGATCCCGTCGAGTGGCGATCCGGTTCTCGTAGGTGTGACTGTGACTGACTGTGACTGACTGTGACTGTAGCTCTTAAATCTTTGCAGCGCGCGTGGACGCTGGGTATTGGCATTGCGCATGGTCATGTAATTAACTGTATGTACAGTACATCCATGCACAGTACATTGTATTCTGCCCTGGGACAACGTGTGTGCACCGTGGCTTTAGGCGTACAGAGTAAAGTGGTTCCAGAAACACGCATAGTTTCATCTGCAAGCTGCTGAATGAGCCACTGTCCCGGATCCCAGCCCGGGTGGGTGGGCATAGGGCATATTGTAATCGCAATCCCGTCTGCAGTGGCACGGCCGATCGATCCAACCGTGCATATATATATAAAATATCTGGGGGAGAGGCTGTGATTTGGGGGCACTCTGTGTCCATGATTTCTTGTTGCGGATGGCGGTTGTGGAGGTGTGCGTTGCTGATGCAAGATGCAAGATGACCCGGTCACGGTCACTCATTTGACGTGGTATGGGAAATGGAGGTAGTTAGCAGGTACCCGGCCATGGGAGATCCCCTACCTAGCCTCTTTTTTTTTTTAATAGCTGTTTAAGGTGAATCGTTAGTTACACATTGACTCGCTCCTTAATGGCACACAGTTCCAGAGGGTCCCAGAGGTCCCCATGGTGAGAAGTTGGGAGCGCTTGTTTGCCAGATCGAGCCCGTTGAGCAAAACGTATCTGTTCCGTGTGATCTCAGAGTGACGTTTCCTGCACACGAAGGATGGGATAATAGGGAGCAAGGGGAGAATGAGGATGGCAGACTGGAAGATTGTTTGTGCCTGGTCTCAACAAGCCAATCACATAGAGTGGATTGGCCGTTGGGATGTTTTACCAACCAACTACCAGTTTTGTGGTTGTTGCAATCCCTGAGAGATGAGAATAACAATATATAACCCTAATAATAGTTCCAGGGATAAGTGTCAGCGTATACAGTAGGTTTTGCAAGTCATTTATCATTTGGTAACCGCTCCACGGCGTGCATCCACCGTGGCCTATCTCCATATATAGCTGTACATCACCCTTATAGATCGGCTTCACCGGCAGAGTAGAGGGTAGTGACATCAATGATTTCAAGATGGTGTGCATTCTTCACATGTGAGATCCCAACGCCGTATCTCCATAGAGACCGATCGCAGAGATTCAACGACCAGCGCAGAAGCAATCCATGGGACCCAGCCTCGTTGCCAGTGCTCGTTCATAGCTAGCCCTGAGCTTGCTGGCTTGAACAAGCTGAAACCGCAGTGAGTGTGGTGAGTGTGGTGAGTGAGTTGTGTGTTGTGAGTGTTGGGACACAGACAAACAGTGCAGAATACTGCCACCGCCGGCTCTCCGCCTTTGCAACGCCCAACCACGGCTGGCGGTCTTGGCCCCATCTGGTCCGCCTGTATCAAGCAGCCATGGCCACCTCCAGATATCATCCTCACCATCGTCATCCTCATCATCACCGTCGTCATCCTCCACCATCCTCACCCATCAACACCATCAACACCATCGTCCCCTTCGCACTTGACGCCCTCCCTACCGACAGCGTCTGCTCGTCCCTGCTGCTGCCCGCTCTGCCTTCTCCACGAGCATCTCCTCCGCTGCCATCCTTGCTGCCCATAGGCTGCCTTCCACCGTTACTCGCTGTCCTTCGCCTCCCTGTTCCTGGAGCTAAAGCTAAAGACAGGTTTTGACCCGCAAGCCACATCAGTGTCCACAGCTGCTGAGAGGGTTTGGTCCTTCCAGCCATCCTCTTAACGCTTTTTTTCTAAAAGGCGACACGTTTTGATTCTTCCGACGACAGCCCTCCTCCCTCTCTCCCCTTCTCTCCCTTCTCTCCCCTTCTTCCATCACTAACTATGGCTGGCACACGAAATTACGATTTTTTGGTACGTTCTCGAGAATTTCGTAAACCTCTTGGTGGGGAATTGGGGGAGGAAATTCTTTCCTCTCTGCTGATTTGCTTCTTATGTTTATTTATATTTATATTTATATTTATTTATATTTATTTATTTATTTATTTATTCATTGATTTATTTTTGCCCTATGTTAACTGTTGTCGTTCTGAATCAGATCAAACTGCTACTCATCGGCGATTCGGGTGTGGGGAAATCATGTTGCCTGCTGCGGTTCAGTGAGGATTCATTCACCCCATCTTTCATTACGACAATCGGGATCGACTTCAAAATCCGGACGATAGAACTAGACGGGAAACGTGTAAAGCTACAGATATGGGATACAGCCGGCCAGGAAAGATTCAGGACGATCACCACCGCATATTACCGGGGTGCCATGGGGATACTGCTTGTTTACGATGTGACCGATGAGCGGTCTTTCAACAGTGAGTTTGGTTGTTTTCTTTTCTACTATTTGCATTTATTACATTTCTTAGACGATTGTTTCTGGTCAAACAAGCTGTCAGCGAGCTAACCTTCTATTTCTTTTCTTTTTTTTTTTTTTTAAAAAAAAAAAGACATCCGGACATGGTTCTCGAACGTTGAACAACATGCAAGCGAAGGCGTACATAAAATGCTTATCGGCAACAAGTGTGATTGGGAAGAGAAGAGAGCCGTGACAACGGAGCAGGGCCAGAAACTGGCCGACGAACTGGGAATCCCGTTCCTGGAAGTTTCAGCGAAAAATAACATCAATGTCGAAAAGGCCTTCTACACCCTAGCCTCCGATATAAAGAAGGTTATGGACACGACCAAATCCGAACAGGCCGGCTCCCAGGGCGTGACTATAGATCATCAAGGCAGTGGGGCAGGCAACCTTGGAGGCAAATGTTGTTAGGATGCTCATTGTTTTTTCTCACCCCTTCATTTTTTTTTTTTATTCTTTATTTATTTTTTATTTATTCTTTATTTCATGTGAACAGGCGGCATTCCTTGTGTACTATCTAGAGAGGGATATAGGCTTTTTACCCAAGCTCTCCTACTTTTAGTTACCACCCCGCTAATGGCGTCTCCAGATCCTTCATCTATCACGTATCCAACAAGTCGGTTAAATCCTTTTTTGTTCTTTCCTACATTTATTTGTTCCTTGCCTTATTGACTTTCGTCCATTTGCTGATGATTCCATTTCCCCTTTCACCTGTTCTTCCCTCTTCGTGTCTCTGTTTTGTTTCCTAGATGGCGTCATTTCACCTGCATTCGTTATTTCTTCCCTCCTCCGCAAGCCCCCCAATAACCTCCCACCCCCACCCCCCAAAGAATAACCGCGTGGGTTGTATTGAATCACAATCACTTGTGCAATCCATATTGAGATCGTATGGCTGTTTTGATAACAACTAACCCGTGCCTCACGATTCCGGATGCCTTTGATCCATTAGTTGATACACATGTGGTATTTGGCGTAATAGTAACAATACAAGTAAAAGCACGTTGTGATAACGCCTAGCTTTTCTCCAACAGGTCCCACAACAAACCAGGACATCCAATGTAAGTCGTTTTTTCGAACTGGTTGTTATTCAGAAGATCCCGGGATCAACAGACGTCGCCTTCAAATAGACACTCGGCCTTCATCAACGGCGGGGGGTCGGGGTAAAACGGTAACGCATCCAGTTTGGGGAGCACGCTCCTGTGCCAAACCCTGACAAATCGCCTTGCCTCCGCCGCAGTCTGAAACGCGATGCGCCAGCAATCGCCCTCCGCCGAACTCTCCTCGTCCGGGGTCAAGATCTCGTTGGAGAGCGGTTCCATCAGCGGCGTAATCGGGTCCTGTTCGACCAGCTGCCACGGCGACCACCTGTTTTGCCCGTCCCACAGCAGGAGTCGACGGACGTATTCCTGCTTGAGAGTGAAACGGCTCTGGCTGTCGATCCAGATTCGGACTGGGAATCCGTGCTTTCCATGCCTGGACGCCAGGTTGTTGTGGAGGTCGATCGCGTCTTGGAGCTTCTGGTCGAACGGCTCCAGGCATGCATATAGGGAAAGCGGCAGCCAGGGCGATGTGAGGGTGTAGTCGTTCAGCCTGTACTCGCACGCACCATCGGCGGTGTAGTTCGGTGGCGGCGTGATGCGGGACATGGTGGATGTTGGAAGATTGTCGCGGGCAAATTCGAAGAGGCGATACACCTTGTCCTGGAACTCCTTCGCGGCGGCAGGGCTGTAGAATATCAAGATCCACGTATTCGAGCGCCGTAGGGTGTCAGGGAAGCGCAGGGGAATTACTACCAACGTCCGGCGATGTGTTATGTTAGTATAAATAGAAAAAGCACACCAGTCCGAGTAACTAGTAACTTGCGCACGAACGTCATCTGAGGGGAAGAAATGAAAAAATGCTCACTTTTCTCAAGACCTCTTGTATTTCTCCATTTGTTGAGGTATTTTCCCTGGCCCAGGATTGACATGAAGTCTCGCTCGTCCAGGCAGGCTGGGGCGCGAGACAGGACGAGGGCCGTTTTATGTTTTTGGCGGCTTTCCTCTTCAGAGGTAATGGAGATACGGCCTCGCTTGTCGATGGTCGCGCCCGTGTTATTAGAGTCGGGTATCTCGGACAGCCCGAATGTTTTGAGTAAGTCGGCGTGTTCTAGGGATATTCTCTCCGGGTCAAATCGCGGCCGGCTGCTCCTGTCCGTCGTCTCCGTGTCCTTCATGTCTACTCCATCCTCTGTTTCTCTGCGCGCACTAGGCGGTATTTCAAACCTATCTCCATGCCTTCGAGCCGGAGTAGATGCGAGGAATCGCAGCAATCGCGTTGGCTTGGCGGGATATGTCCTTGTGAAGGCTGTAAATCGCGAAGGAAAGAACATGCTGCGGGCTACGATGGCGAGAGATGAAAACACATTATGTGTCGTGGCTGTCATCAAAGGTTGCGCTGCTCGAAGATTCGCAACGAAGCCAGAGTATTCTGGATAATAATAGTTTGAGTCAATTGCGTACGCAGAGGAGCAGAAAGCCGGTAATTCACCGAGTTTTCTTCCATTTCTCGCGGCGTTTGGAAGAAGATGATGGATTGATTTTCTTATCTTATCTGATTAGGGTTTTCAACATCACCCAGAAACTCTTTGACGATGGATCTCAAAGCTGTCGAACCCCCGCCTTGAATTACAAACTAGACTATTTAGCTGTTGGCCGGTGTGCGATTTACACCTGTAGGCAGAAGAAATTATTACGAGGTGAAATATATCTCGCTCTATGTCATAACGACAGAGTACTGTGTGCTAATTCTCACTCTTTAATTTTTAGTATGGACAGTGTACAGACCCATTTTGTTCCATTACTCCCATTCAGAATACATCCAATATATCCCCGCCTTTTTGCGCAACCCTGATTCAATAGCAATCCATATCCCGAGACGCGGGAAACTCAGGATGGCGGCGGACGGACCCAAGTTCACGGTTCGGCCGCTGTCGAAACAGCCCAGAAACGATCAGAAGGACTCCTTCCGTGTCTCTCTGTCTCCGTCTTCCCTGCTCCTTGTGAAAGCTAGACCGGGCGATCTGTGTCGACTGGAATCGGCAGAAGGCCCCCCAGGGACGGCCATCGCGTGGGCTTCTGCTGAGAAAATTCCAGATACTGTTGTTCAGACATCGAGAGCTGTTCAGGATCTCTATGGCCTTAAGCTGGGAGAAAAGATATCGATTTATCGAGAGCATGAACCTTTGGACGAAATATCAGCAGTACGCCTCGAAGAATGCACAGACGCCAGCAGAATTTCTGCGTTTGGCGCGCTTCTGGAAACGGATAGACCGCACTGGGAGTGGGGTCTTGAATACCCCTTGTCTAAATGTGAGATCATCGCGGAAGGGATGGTGTTCGACTTAGACCTTAGGGGCAATCGTAGAACCTTTAGGGTGGCCGAAATCGAGCCTCTCACGCAAAGCCGGAGTAATACCATCTTTCAATTTACTTCCCGATCCAAGGTATCCATCGGACAGGCCTTGCGACGTCAGACTCTTCCTTCCTCACTTGTCGTGTCGCCCACAGGACTGGGTGGCCTTGGCCAGCAAGTAATGCAGATCAATGAGAGGCTTCGTGACTTTACATTCCAGGAGCATAACGTGGCCATGCCTTCATTTTATCGGAATAGTGGCGGGATTTTAATCTACGGCCCAAAAGGTACAGGGAAGAGCACACTCTTATCCAAACTCGGTGCTGCAGGGTGGAAGAAAGTGCTCACCATCAACAGCTCTGTACTGAACAGAAACCGAGGCGATGGGGAGGTGCTGTTGCGCAAGATCTTCACCGAAGCTCTTCAGTCTCAGCCATGCCTTATTGCCATAGACCAATTGGATTACCTCGCTCCCAAAAATCGACCTAATGATTCATCTATATGTTCAGCACTCTGTGAAGCCCTGGATAGTCTACAGGATGCAAAAGTTCTCGTGGCCGCCTGCACAAGGCACCCGAACGATGTTGACGACAGCCTTAGAACACCCCATCGGTTTGGCGTCGAGATCGAGTTACCCGTTCCGACCGCTAAGGGGCGAGAAGAGATTCTGCTATCCATCCGAGGAACGTCCAATGTGCCAAATGACCATCAATTAGCAAAATTGGCAGAACGGACTCACGGATACGTCGGTGCCGACCTGTTTTCGTTATTGCAGCTTTCGTGTAGAAAAGCGCAGACTAGGCAAATATTGCAATTGGAACAGGGCAAGTCGTGTTCGAATGAGCAACATATTTCGGGACTGGCAACACCTTCGGAGAGCGGCGCTCCCGATGAGAATTTCCTTCAAATCGATGATACGGATATATCACTCGCGCTTCAAGAAACTCGCCCGACGGCGATGAGAGAGGTTTTCCTGGAGACGCCCAAAGTGAAATGGAGTGATATTGGTGGACTACATGAAATAAAAGAGCGTCTTCGGAAGGCGGTGGAGAGACCACTCAAAGTAAAGACTGAACTCAACCCACTGAGCAAGTTTGCTCGCTAGGAAAAAAAAAACCACGAAATGGCTAACATGTCTTGATTAGTTTCCTGACCGAATGAAACGACTGAACATAAGCGGCAAGAAGGGTATTTTGCTATACGGTCCTCCTGGTTGTTCTAAAACACTGATGGTCAAAGCACTGGCGACTGAAGCCGGGTTGAACTTTCTGGCAGTTAAAGGGGCTGAGATCTTGAGTATGTATGTCGGGGAGTCGGAACGGGCACTCCGTGAGATATTTCGAAAAGCACGATCGGCCAGCCCGAGCATTATATTTTTTGACGAGATTGATGCAATTGCTTCGCGACGAGGCAGTAGTGCAGCTCAGGGGGGCGGCGGTGGTATTAATGTGCTAACGACTTTGCTCAATGAAATGGACGGGATTGAAGAGCTGAAAAACGTGCTTGTTGTTGCGGCAACGAACAAGCCGGAGGTTCTCGACCCTGCCCTTATGCGCCCTGGGAGACTGGATAATATTCTGTATATTGGGCCCCCAGACATGCAGGCGCGGAAGGAGATTTTAAACATCTGGATTAGTAAATCGGAAGTGGATGACGACGTCGATATTGACATGTTAGCCGAGGTGACTGAAGGATACTCTGGAGCGGAGATGGTTAATATCTGTGAAACTGCAGCCGACGGTGCCCTAGACGAGGAGGAAGAGACTGGCCAGCAGCAAAGAATAGGATGGAGACACTTTGAATCTGCATTGGACCAGGTGCCCAGGCAGATATCATCGGCGGTGATTCAGGGTTATGAGAGATGGAGAGACGAGATGAAATGAACATGACCAAATAAACATCAATTCTTCCCTCAATGACATGCATATTTTGATTTTATTCCTCTCGTCTCTTTCTCTCACTTATCCAAGTGGAACTCTGCAGCCGTACATACATAGGTCGCCATTCTCACGCTATCGACTTGCCAACCGTGTGCAGGACGAGATGGACCTGGAGATAGGATATTTACATCCAGCCAGGAGCGCTTTATTTTATAAGCCAGAGCGTGTACACACTTGATACACACAAAAATACCACCAGAGTTAAGCAAGCACTCATGCTCTTCTACATATTACATATTACATATTACAGCTGTCTGGGAAAGTGCTTCAGCAGTGGACAAGCTCCACTACGATCTAATAAAAATCTCTGTAAATATATATATAAGATTTGTGGCTTGGAACTGGCCTTGCTTGTCTTGCCTTTCACAACAAGCTAGAGCAACCGCCGGCTATTAAAAAGATCTGTCTATATTTTATATTGTCATACCCGTGGAGACATCTCTTCTACGTTTGGGCCTCATATATCTCTGTTACGTACAGATTATTAGAGAGATCAATATCTCAGTTAATCGCAGAACTAAACCAGCGAATAATTAAAACAATATTTAGAGGCGGTAGAATGTAATATAACATAGGATTATAATACAGAGTTACATGAATTCAGCATCAGCAGTGTTTCTTTCTTTTCTTTCTTTTCTTTCTTTCTTTCTTTTTCGGTTTCGGAATCCTTGGCAGATGTCGTTGAGTTTATCGCGCTTCTGCCGCCTCAAGCTTCGCCAACCATCAACTACAGCGCAGGAGCACCCGCGACAACTGAAACAGCTTCCATATGGCTGCTCATCAGCGCGTCTTTTCACTCAATTAGCTGTTATTGTTATTTTGCTATTCTCCTCCGTTTCTTGGTCTCCCTCTCTGTGTGTGAGATTTGGAGTGAAGCTTTCGCAGTTTCTAGCTCACCCATTGCCGCGATGCGTTCTCGATCGCCCTCCCGGTCCCGATCTCCCTCTCCAGCACACTCCCGCGGTCGTCGTAGGTCGCATACACCTGTTCGCTCGCATTCGCGGCGGAGGTCTCCTTCGTTGCGATCCCGCCATTCAGATGCCTCGCGATCCCGGGCCCGCTTGAGAGATGCAAGCCCCGGTCTGTCACCAAGGCGGAATGGGCATCGGGATGGAAGCAGATCTCCCCCTCCACGCAATAGAACCCGCAGTAGAAGCTTGAGCAGAGGTCGCGGCGATCGTCGATATCGAGACAGAAGCTTCACACGAAACCCAAGCCGCGGTACCCCTCCTCGGACCAGTTCGAAGGTAGCGTCCATTTTTCTTCACTGTGCCACTTCTGATTTTTTGTTTTCAAAGGAGAAAAAAAAAAAAGAAAGAAAGAAAAGATAATCATGTCCCATACGTCGCAATTCGATGTATCTAGTTCTGCAAGCTATTGTCTCGTAAATTCTTTGATGCTAATCGGGATTTTACAGATTGTTGTTGAGAAGTTAACCAAGAACGTGAATGAAAATCATCTACGCGAAATTTTCGGCGCCTATGGGGAAATACAAAGCTTGGAATTGCCCATGAACCCACAATGTACGTGATGGGTTCATTTATTATCATCATCCTTGCTTTGATCATATTGTTTGTCTGACAAATTACACGCGCAGTTATGATCAACCGCGGCACCGCCTATATTCTATACTACGAAGTAGCAGATGCGGAAGCAGCTATATCGCATATGCACGAAGCGCAACTTGATGGCGCTGTCCTCAACGTATCCATTGTCCTGCCTCGCCGCACGTTTTCTCGCTCTCCTCCGCCAGCTCGGAACAGGGGTGATTTTGGCCGCTTTGACCGACCTGCTCACGGGAGGCCTTATGGTCGAGGAGCCGGCTTGGATTCTGGAAGACCTCCGCCTTCGGGAGGCCGGTATCGCTCTCCCCCGCCCCGTCGTGCATCCCCCCGGCGTTTTGCCGGTCCCCGCGGCATGGAAAGACACGATCTATATCGTCCTCGGTCGATTTCGAGATCACGCTCCCCGCGGGGTCGCTCGCCTTCCTATTCCTCGCGATCGCGTTCCAGAACTCCGCCGCCACGCAGAAGGCCTCATAGGGATAGCCCCCCTCGTCGTAGGAGACGGGCCTCCAGCTACAGTAGCTACAGCGACCGTGGCCGGAGCCGGAGCAGAAGCAGAAGCCTGAGTCGCAGCCGAAGTCCTAGTCAGAGCCGCAGCCGTCGCGGTGGCGGAAGGCGGTAGGTGGTTATTTCCTAGGAGGTGGTTCTACTAATGTATTTGTTTCCTAAAACTATTGTAACTTCTATGCGAAACGGTGAGCGATAGGGAAAAAAGGACCTACAGGGCCTATGGTTTCATAGTCATGGCGTATGAAATAATACACTCGTTTCGGATTACAGTGCTATGCTTTAGGGAGTGAGTTGGGAAAAAAAGAAAGAAAAAAAAATTACTCAATTGAAGGCCCATCATTAAACCCGTGTAGAATCCATCACCCTTAGATGCAAAGGGTCTAGGCGAGAATCAATCAAAAAACTGACTCAGAAGAAAGCGCACCACCCGATGTACATAGCAGCCAGATGCTTTATACTTGTGGCTTGAATGATCAGCTCCTCCACATGGCCACCTACAGATAGCGGAACGGATTCGCCAGGCAGCAAGCCTCGCAGTTTGTTTCGTACAGACTCGAGGACCCCTTCGGGTGTATCTGGGACTTTCGGGTTTGTTCGTTTCTTGCTTGCGGGTTAGCGAGTCCATTGATGAAACTAAACTCCTAGCAAAGGAGGGAGGGCTATGTGCTGTTGTGGAACAACCAACCTTTCTGCCAATAAAGTCTGTTGTGGGATCGTGTAGGAAGGTCTCCAGGATGGTCATGAGCGAATCCTCGTTTTGTCGTAACAAGCCAAGTGTGAGCTCGCAGGTCTTTCGGAATGGTCCTGGATCCCAGTTTTAGGAGTGCGAATCTTGAAGAGGAGGTAGGGGTGGTTTAAAAATACTAACCATTATATCCATATGCTCCGAATGCGTTGATCATATTTTGCGTCAACCGGAATGGAACCAATTCGGGTTTATCGAATGTCAATCCCTTGGGAAACGTCAGTACCGCCTTGCTTTGGCTTTTTTGTATGAATACGGGACTTAGGTGCATACCTTGTCAAAAAGACAGTTAAAATCAACATGGAGTACCCCGCCGCTATTCTCCTCGAAGAGTATATTCTCGCCATGCCTGTCTCCGAGACTAGTATATCAAACAGCTTTAGATTAACCGGGATCACGTTATCTAGGTGTCTCGGGGGTGAAAACTTACCCCAAGCAATAGCCGACCATGGACATCACAGCGCTGCTCCTAGTGTATTTCAAACGTGCAGTGAACCATGCACCAGGCTCGGGGAACATTTCAACAAACCATTCATGTAGAACCGGAGGATAACTGCGTATCTTTAGAACGTACGTCCTTCGGGGATGGAAAGGGGATATATGACTTACGCTGCTAGGATTTTGTTGGTGAAAAGATGAAGCTTTGATGGATCCGTACATGCTTCATTCAGATAGTGCCCGATTTCCTTGTACTACAAAATTAGTCAGTACAATCTAGAAGGGGTTCGCAATATGAGGTAAAATGCGTACGTTCGGAGTAATCCCCCTTTCCTTGAGAAGCCTGGTCACGAGCTCTCTCAAAGTCCTTAGGTTGTCAACCCATTCAATAAGCCCACATTCTTCGTTTAACGGAGTTACCGCATAAGTTTTGATGTCTGACACGTAGTTAGGAAAATGACCTGTTGCATTTTGTGTTTTTTAAGAGGAATAGGTATCCGCCGGCTCACATAGACGTCTCTTGCTTGACTCAACATCCCGTTTCAAAAATCGGTTAATCATGCTATTGAACTCCATCAACCGCTGGTCTTTGCGAAGATCATCTTTTGGCTTGCATAGGAGGCTGTAAATGTTTCCGTCTGAGCCCCGGATACTGATCTTACGGGGTTTCTGCAGCGAGTTGAGAACGAGAGCATCGTCGAGAACGGCTGATAATATAAAGTTAGACAGGCATGAAGGGTTTTAGGAAATATGAAGTATTGCTTACTTTCAATGGTAATGGGGTCATGAGGGAAAGCTCGAAATGATTTCAAAAAGGACGGTTCATGGTTCGTGGGTAATACTGGAGTCAAGGTTGCTTCTAACGGTATAACAAGTCTGCAGGGTGCCGTCCTGTGGTTGAAGCCAAGGGTTCTTGCCAGGCTAACCTTTGGAGTCTTATCTTCAATGGATGTGTTACACAACTTCAACAATTCCTCCGAAAGTCGCTGCCCTTGGTTAATGATACTCCGGAGCTCCGAAGCTGACATGTCGGTTTTCATTTTTTTGGTAGCCTCCTGTTATCATCAGTAATGCCGTGCCTAATAATCGGGACATACACATACCGTTATCTTCTGAAGGCACGACATGCCCCGAGATGCCCTATCTTTAGACGAGGACTTCAACACTGCAAGAACAGTCCATAGGGCTTGCTGTGGGAATGAATTTGCTGTTTTTACCACAATCTGAGTGAGGATATTGTACACGGTTGAGTTGCTATGGCAAATTCGAGCGACTACTTGCGGGAGGATGGTGAAAAGCTGGGAACATCAGCAAAATATTTTAATAAGTGGTGTCAATGTTATACACACCAATGCAGCAGGTATCCGATTGAAGTATTTGCGCAACTGCGTATGCATGTCATCAAGGCATTTTTTTCTCTGAGCCATGCTGTATTTTTGAAATTCCCTAGAGAATAGTCAGCAGAAAGTCATAAGTGGAAATTTATCAGATCTCACTCATTATCACCCCTCTTAGGATCGAATGGTTGGTCCACAGCAGTAGCGTGCTCCAACCATAAAGTCAAAACTTTGGGTAGAGTCTGGAAGACATATTTGTTGCCGTGGGCGAGTGAACGAAGAAAATTGTCAATAACAAGTTTTGACGCCTCACCACTCAAGCTAGAGATTCACCTGTTAGCCATGTGCTCCAACCGTGTGGATATTTATCATACATACTATATTTGTGCTTCTTTACCCAAAGGCTTTGACTTTTCTGAATCCAGGATTTTCGTGTAATGCCTCCCTAGGTAATAGTGTGCTTTCTCCCACCTAAGGAGAGTAAGTAGACCGCTTATGCACGGATACAACGAAAATGCCTGATGCAAGATAGGGGAATTGATCGTCGTGAGACCACTTACCGACTATGGAATTTAATAGCCTGCCTGTACCTTTGAACGATAACTTCTGACTGTGTTTGGCCAGCGCTATCCATCCATTTTGCGAGCAAAAGATGTGCCTTTAATAGTGAGCAGAATACAAAATATTAAGAATGGAAAATGTCTATCTTACCCTAGCTGTAACCATGTTTTGCTTCTGTTGTCGATCAGGGGCTACTGATAGAAATGTCTCTTCTGACGGAGCGTAATCATGAGCAGTAAATGCATTTGCTGCAATCGCACCTTCTAAAGTCTGTATTGCCTTTCTATGGTGACCTTCTTTCCACAAAAGCCTAGCGTGTTCAATAGTAGCTGACGTATCATCAAGCTCATGAGCATGAAGAACGGCATTGAATGCCTGCTCCGTGCAGTTTGCTTTACGAGCAAGACGAGCGACACGCAGCCAAAGTGAGGCAAGGTCGGAAGAATCAAACGAAGAGCTTTTATTACCCAAGTCAGCTCTACTCTTAGCGGGAACAAGAGCACCTATTTATGCTGGAGACTTACGTCAATTCCATTGTTGCTCGCCTCAACCCGAGAAGGTATTGTTTATCAGCGATACATCCACCAAGAATATCCAATCGACGGTCCAATGTCTCAAAAAGTGCGATTCGATCCTCTCGAGTTTTGGGAGCTGGAGACGTGAGTAGCTCGATTTCGGCAAGAGCATGGAGTTTAAGGACGTTATCATGACTTGCATGGAACGATGCCACTGAATTTGATGTGAATCCTTTCGCGACGTTAAGACGTAACTTCGTGATTGTATCTTTGAATTTTCCGAGTTTCCCATGACGGAGCATACTAAGAGCTGAGCCTATTGCAACATTAAAGTCCCCAACAGCTTGATCAGAGGCTATCCTCACGTAATTATCCAATCTGTCCCATCTACCGGTCAACCATGATGCTTCCATAGCGATGGGGAGCATTTTCGGTAGCGTGGACTTCGCCAACTCGAGGGTGTCGAATTGGTTGAGAAGACCAACTAGATATGTCTCAGCGGGATGTTCAGTTTCAGTGCAGTGAAAATAAAAATGATCATACCGTGTTGGCCTGACTCCTTCAGGCATGTCAATAAATTTTCCTGGGCATATCCGTTTGTCGGGTCTGTTTTGAGCTGCAACTCATACCAACTTTGAGCCGCCACCCATCGGCCCGCTTTGCGGTGCTCAAGTATCTGCTGGTCAATATTAAGAACATGAAGATAAGCGGAAATACCTTCTATACCATCCGGTTCGTCGATTTGCGTATATATTTCCTGCAGCCTTTGATAAAGAGGTTCAAGGTTAGCGACATTTGTGTCACCCTTCTGATGCTGTTGTTGTTGCTGTTGTATATACTGCTCCCAATGGAAAAGTGCTCTTGAGAAGGATTTGCATTCGACCGCCCGCTTCGATATGATCTCAGCAGGTACACAGGAGAGAAGCTCCTCAACGAGTTTTATTTGAGATGCCCATGAATTAAGCACTGGATCTCGGTTTGACCGATGATTGATGGCAACAGCAAGGCTAGTATATTCTTTTTTCTTTCCATGGAGCCATCGAGATAGGTAATCAAGAACCGAAAAAACGCTCTTTCACAGGTCCATTGTTAGCATATTTCACATTGTCTATGACGAAGACAGATAACGTACCTCACTACACAAAATTATGTTTTCTCTGATTTGATGATTATTTTCGGGAAGCGGGTACTGGAGGACATTTAGCAACTCCTTCTTTAAATCGTCCCTTTGATTCTGATCACCGCTGAGCGCCAGATTCAGAGCTGCAAAGGGGAGAAGAAATGCGGCGATAGATATGTCTTGACTTCGTATGATCCTGCTGCTGACGCTGAAAATTATAACCACATTTTCGCCTTTCCCTTTTTGTAGCATGTCGAGTGTAAAAGTTCGGAGCCACTCAGGATGGCTTAGTTTCGATGAAAACAAAGGGTAATCACAGCTTGTGCTTATGGCGCCAATTGTAACAGTATATTTTGAACTTAGAAACGGTGTCAAAGTGTTTCTCACATATTCAGGCAACGAAAGCCACCGTCGGTAATACTCATTTGCTTGGCTGTCTTGCGAACGGGGATGAATGACCAAATCCAGATTGCAAAGTTTCAGCAGCGCCTGCATAGCGTATGCAAGGAAACCCTGAGCTCTGGTATTCGAGGCTGATAGGAAGGCCTCGACCAAAACATGCTGGAGGAAAAATAATATAAAATCTAAAGTTTCTTCCGCACTATCGAAGTTCGACAAAACGAGGATATCCTTCTTTTCTTTAACCAATTCGATTCGATTGGGGTCCAAGCATCCAATGTGGCCCAGACACCGTGCAGAGAGGTTCATTATTGTAGGAGATGTGGGATTAAATTTGGAGCTACAATCCAATAATGAACGGGTTAACTGGGCCACGATACCGTCCAGCTGTTCGTTAGTAATGACCCGGTGAATAAATTCCTCGTTTTCCAGCAATTCTCGGTCAAGCTCCTTCAGTGCTTGTTCAACAACTACTTGGTTCTCATTTTGACATCGTCGGCAGAATGTCTTGAATCGGGTTTGAAGGTCCATTCGCCCCTTAAGCTTCTGGATCTCTTTCTCGTATTCCGCCATGGAGGGGATAGATGATAGCGAGGGCATGGTATCGAAAGCATTTTTCACAACAGCCTTATGCTCAGTCAAAATGTGACCGACAAGGCTAAATGCCCGTTCCCTGCTCTCTAGCTGGAATGTGTCCCAATTTTTGATAATGATCGAAAATGTCTGGTCGATCAGGGGTTCGATCTCGACCTCATCGAGCGAAGTCATGATGATACTCCACGACGCAAAAGCTTGATCACAAAGCTCCGGTATATCTAATGCTGATCGCAAGCAAGCACAAATCTACAGTGAATGAGCTACATATAGCTCATGTCGATTAACTTTGGAATACGGAAGACTAACCTGTGGTAGAGCGATGGTAATATTACCTTTCGCTATCTTTACCATCTCTCCAATAGCGATTATATTCCTCTTCTTCTCTACAATAGGCTGTCGGATTTGAAAATCGTTAACGACGTGGGCGAACTCGGTAATGATCCCTAAAACATGTTCTTCAATGAAATTTGCGACCAGCTCTTCTCTGTTTAAAGAATCAATTCCTTGCTCTGGCTTTCGCGGTGTAAGGGATGCAAGAAGCTTGAGCGCTTTGTAATACTAAACTCGCGATGTGAGCGTTCGTACAATTTGATAACCATTCATCTTTCCATCTTACCTTGGATCTTTCGGCATTAGTAGAATCCCCCAACCCTTTGAGAAGCTCGCAAGCAATAAGAATTGGTTCCGCTCGAACCCATCCTGCTAAATCGTGGACCTGAAACTCGGGCGACATCTCGTTAAAAATTGATACAACCATCGCATTATGATCGCTTGTCGGCTGGGTTAACAGCAGGGTGAGAATCGACGCTAAATTATTCTTTCTTGTGCAAAGCTGGTAAGGGGATTGTTTCTCATCATATGTGGCCCCGATGCGTGCTATAATGTCGGACTTTCTCATCAAGACAAGGTATGGCAAAACGTGAACTTCGGTCAGCCTCAAGAAATTATCTACCTTCATACCAAGAAGGTCGCACAGCTGATCCGCCATTTGTGGTCGACTGTGGATGTTTTTTACAATCACAACAGAGAGTGTCCTCCAAAATGGCCTACAAAGGGCACCCGGGGTCACTCCTAGATGCTGGGCAAGTTTTGAAAGCTGATACCAGTCAGCAGATAGCAATGGAAGATCGGAGAAATAAAAAGAGGGCCCACCCCGGTATAAGCAATAGCACTAATGAATGGATTTGGATGACCAAGATATTCGAAAAGACGAAGAAGAATGATGTTCATTTCCTCATCCCCAGAAACCCTTTTACTTGTCAGTCACGATTTCTATGTATCCAAGTATGAGAGCTCTTACTCTGCTAAACGACCCAAAGCCATGATCGAGGTTTCTTGAATTGGCATATCAACTTTTTCGAGAACATTTTGTAAATATTCTAGCGCAATTACGAAATTAGCCCGACGAATATCTGAGCTCAGGTTTGCTCGTAGAAAGGCAGGTAAAGTTTGTCTACCATCAAATATTAGCTTATATATACCAGCTTCATCCATAATTGAAAGCCTACTTACCCTGCAGCCATCCTCAGCTCTCTGAGGGAGCTGCGGAGGGATTGAAGACACCATTCGCCCAATGGGGATGAATGTAGTGCAACATTTTCGTTTTTTGGATCATGCATCACAATATTCCTAATCCCAAACATGGCGGCTATTCGAGCCTTCCTAGATCCTTGAACAACGGGAATTATTTCAGTTATAGTTTTACATATTTCGCTGAAATGTGAGCTCTCCTGAGGCCGATTGTTAGGGAGTCTCGGTGAAATACTATCGCAAATCAAACATCGGAATTGAGGCCCAGTAACATTGCTTGGCTGCTCCATCACCAAACTTCCCGCACCAGCACAGGCAATCCTCCCAATCATAGTTAAAACCTCACATTGGTCCTCCTCTGATAGCTTCGGTAGAGCATTTCTGTACAGAAAGTTAGTGCTTTTCGTCGGTTGAAGCTGTGATATATGTGAAAGCTTACAAAACGATTTGACTTAGCCCATCTATACCTGTTGTTGGATGAGAAGACAGTAGATGGTATACAGTGGTTGTAACGGTCTGTACGAGGTCTGTGACGGGCGTTTCCTCCTCTGGGTTAGAGAGTCGGGGTCTTTTCCTTGCTCGATCGCTCTCAGTAGTGTTACCATCCTCGAAAATTGGCCGGCTTGGAGATTTCGGGATGGACAGAGTCATTGGATTACCGCTTTGAGTCCTGGAGTGTGGAAGAGCAGGTAATTTCGCATCAGCTGAAGCTCCAATGTGGTGGAATCCCTATTCAGGATCCTAATAATGACCATCTACAAAAATTCCCTTAGCAGCTACAGAAACATGTGAACACAAGATAACTCTCACCTGAAATGACTGATGCAATTTCCGAAACCCTGCGTCATCCTGCCTGCGATCAAACAGGGGCTCAGAGAAGTGATCCTCAATGAAACGGCCAACTTCAGGAGAACTAAGAGAAAGCCGTATAGCATCACTAAGCAGCTGGCTTAGTGCTTGTTGGACATCCATAATTTGATAAAGTTTCGTGGAGTTCAGCAAATCGATTCCACACTGCAACCATATTTGCCTCGCCTGTTGGTCTAGACATAACCCTTGTGACACTTTCAACGAGTGCGAGTATAACTTGCGCGAGAGCGTGACAAAGTCAAGAAGGCTCCCCAACTGTTCTTCTACTTGTGTGGTCGTTGAGACTTGCAGCCATTCGAGCATAACGGCCCATAACTTTTGTTGACAGTAAAGCACCCAAGTAAGAACCCGGCGAAGATTGGCTATGCCAGATGCTGGCAGAGTAATATGGAACGGAGGGCAGGCTACCGCCTCGAGTAGTTGAAGGCAAAGCTTAATGGCGTCTCCCGGGGTTCCTAACTTGACCCTTCTGGTAAACATCGAGCGCGGGAGAGACAACTTGTCCAGGCAAGTCGACAAGATACGTGAGGGTCCGGGGAAATACAACGGGGCGTTACACCCGACCTCTGAAGCACCAACGGCTTCCAGTGAATATAGTACATCTGCGTTACTTATGTCAACATCTGACCCTTAATATTATGAGATTTCTGAGGCAACTAACCACCAATACAAGCTTGGATCAGTGTATGCACTGACCGAGATGAATGCCATAGTTGGGGCCCTTTGAATTGGGAAACATAAATAGTTGATAGGAGGCTATAAATCTTGTCTTTTATAGAGCACTGGCCCCATATGAAGAGGAGAGAAAACAGCTCATGAATAAGCCAGGCAAACAGAGGCGCATGAATATCTTTCTTCCCAAGGATTTCAGGGTCGGATATTTCGTGCAGGACCTGGGGACATCTGCGCACTGCCAATCGTATAATATCAAGACAATCTAAGATCTGTCCCTCCAATTCTTCTCCCAAAACCCGAGATCTAAAAGACGGCTGTAGGCCAGCTTTTACCACGACGCATATCAAGTTATGTACGTCGGTGATATTGTCTTCCAGATTAAATTGGCTCCCTTCATCTTGGCCCAAAATTTCCTGACGTAGCTGGGAGAAAGTTTCTCGGCTGATCGCATGTCTCTGATTTGGGCTAGGAGACAGGTGAGGCGCAAGATGGGCAGCCAAAATCGAAGAAGCTGGTTCCGCGACCGCAGGGCCTTGAAGCCTTGTTGCCTTTTCTGACGCCATTTAGAATGCTGTGGTCCATCAGGAACAGAACGGTTGAGAAGCTGAGAATCCCCGCAGGGGGTTGCAGGAGCACATTCAACACAGTATATGTAAAACACTACTTTGTGATTACATCTGAACATTTGAATGGCACAACCTGCTGGTTCATCAGCCTCTTTTGCACCTAGATATCAGGCTCCGCTTGTTGATACTGGATCAACCAGCCGAAATCGAACTTGGGCGGCTGTGTGGTTATGTAATACATCTGATACCGTGTTGGCTGTGCCGCGTATCAAAATTACAACTGGAACAATCAAGCAGACCACCGCAGATGAACTCGGGCAAAATACGAAAACAGAGCAGATGGAACAGAACAGCCCTGGCATACGGTTTGCCAGTGATGCCCAAAAACATGAATATTTTATGGAGAAAGCCCTTGACATGGTATGTACTCAGGGGTGCTGTTCTCCGGGGTCATCTCGCTAATTCAAATGAACAAAAAGGGTGAAGAAGCCCTAGCAAGTGGTGAAACTCCAGTCGGCTGCGTACTCGTCCATAATGACGAAGTCATCGGGTCTGGTATGAACGACACGAATAAGTCGATGAACGTAAGGTTCAGAACACTTTTTTAATTTTATTTCAGCTAGCGCGGGTGATGCATGCTGATCTGATATTCATATAGGGGACCAGACATGCAGAATTCCTAGCTATTGAAGAAGTGTTGAGGAATTATCCACGAAGCATATTTCGTGAAACAGACCTCTACGTGACTGTTGAGCCATGTATAATGTGTGCATCTGCGTTAAGACAATACCAGATCAGGCATGTCTATTTTGGGTGCGCAAATGAACGTTTTGGAGGGACTGGAGGTGTCCTCAATTTACACTCGGAGTGAGTCCATGTCCACCTTCTACAACCGACAGGGATCCGTTGCTAAAACTACTCGGCATTACTTTCGGTAGCCCAGGAATTGATCCGCCATATGGCCTTACGGGAGGACTGTTCCGGAGGGAAGCAATTATGTTATTACGCCGATTTTATATCCAGGAGAATGAAAGAGGTACGTAATAATCAACATTCAACGACATTTATTATATAATGGCAGATCTTTATTCTTTTTCTCGCTTCAAAAACTCATCGTTCAACCTAGCGCCCAACCCAAAACCGAAAAAAGATCGGGAACTAAAGAATGATTTTGGCGAAGATGCGAGCATGGGGATGGAATTCGCGGAGATTTTGCCCCTGACATAACGCTTTCTTCGCATAACTCAGCTCCTGAGAGCCATTTTGCGCCGCACATTTCTTTTTCTTTTTTCTCTGCTGAAAAGGAACATGAAATTTATGGAATTTTCATCCACTATATATATACAATATTCACTTCAATCTCTAGGGAGAAACGTTGAAAGAAGCAGGAGCAACAGGAAAATAGTTTGACAGAGTACCCTTGGACAAACGACAGCTTAAAATAGAATATTATGACGAGGACGCGGCTTTTTGACGTTCTGCTTCTAGCTCTCGCTCAGCTTGTTGATAGTACTTCGCGGTGTCCACGCCGTGCTGTTAATCCGAAAATGTTAGTCAAGGTTCCAATAAAACTAACAAAATCTCGTATGAGCCGGAGAAATTATACCTGGTCGTGATTCACAAAATTGAACCAAGGAATGACATGGATGAATAGAGAGGAATATCGCGAATTCCGAGCTGCAACTCCTTGCATATAAGGCGAGAGCGACGAGACTCCGTATAGAGGCTCCCCTTTCTTAACCTTGTCAACCATCTCACGCATGTCCATTTCGACCTCCCGTTTATTTTCTGTAAAGCCGTAGAAGCGTTCTGTGGTGCGGGAAAAACAATGGATTGGTCAATTTGGAAATCCCCGAAAAGTTAACCAGGACGCCATTGAACAAAAGTCAACGTACTACATGATGTATTGTATACGGTGAGTAGGCCACCTAACATGCCAATTGCCGTTGCCAATCGCATAGCTTTGCCAAATGTTCCCGGCCTAGCACCCGCCGGATGCATTCGTTCCATCATCCAAAAGAGAGCCGGTGATGCTGCAGCAACGCCAGCCCCAACGGCATAATCGGACGGCCTTGCATATCCAAATACTCGTTTTACATGACTGCGATTAACGTTAGAAATAGAGCATATCGAGAATTGGTCTCGGAATTGGGACGAGCATACGGATCCGTATCAATTACCTAGGAGACAAAAGCAACTCCGAGTTAGTAAATTACGGACAGAGAGAGGGGAATGGGTGAAAAGGAAAACACATACGGGATAGTCAGTTTTCAGGACCCTTGGCGGAACAATTGGCCGGCCGTGATCGGTAGCCATGATGAAGATTGAGCTGGCTGGAAACACAGCCCTTGCGCATATATTGGATAGCTAAGCTTTGATGCCTTCACAATGCATTGGATCAATTGCGATGGGTTGGTCAGGCTAATGTCACCTGATGATTCGCTCACGTGATAATTAATTATAGTCACATGCTTTTGCGTCGCCAAGAGTCGCGTCATTTGAATCGCGTTGGCAATGGAGAAACTGCAATTGACAGATCTCCAATTTGAATCTCACAACTCCCATTCTGAAGTTGAAATACCTATGTAACCCATTATTTACTATCCTTCCTCTTCAGTTAAAATCAAACACGGTATAAGAAGCCATGGAAGCTCGAGGACAGAACGCCAACACAATTCCAAACCATACTCCACCTACAATCGACGACCTATTCGATTACGATGCCGGGCTTGATGAAATCCTCGGAGACACGGAGGTGAACCAACACAATGACTCGTCAAATCCAACATCAGGAAGCAATAATGCACCAGCGGACTCCAACAATGCGAGTCTGGGTCTAGATGAGGAAATCAAGGTAGCGCCCAAGAGAAGACCGATTCCGAAATTGGACGAGGCTCGGTAAGAAGCATGTATGCAAGAGCTTCTGGCGTTTTTGACTAAACGCGGCCTTCAGATTACTATCACCAGCCGGAATCCCAAAGCTCCGAAGGGATGCAAAAAAACTCAAATTCAGGGGGAAGGGCCACGAGGTAAAGAATCCACAGCCACCTTGAGCTTGATTGGCATGTGTTTCTTCTTCTCAGGCTGATTCATAAATGTATATATTATTTTTCTTAGTACTCTGACGCCATGCGTCTTCTCAACTTTTACCAACTCTGGCTGGATGACCTCTACCCCCGCGCAAAATTCGCAGACGGCCTAGCTATAATTGAAAAGTTAGGCCACTCGAAGCGCGTCCAAATCATGCGAAAGGAGTGGATTAACGAAGGCAAACTAAGACCAGATGCTGTTGATAGAGATGAGGAAGCAAGCAATGACACAACCCAGCTTCCGGCTGCGAACGATGCAGTCACTCGTGATGAGCATGGTCAAAACGAAGATGAATTATTTCCCGCTGCGACGACAAATACTACCCGACGCGAAGCAAGAACATCGCCCACTCGAGAAAACCTCGATACCACTGATGTTTCCACAGAAAATCAAATACCGTCCATTTTCGGTGGCGGGGGAGGAGGTGGGAAGATGGCAGAACACAACTTTGGCAACAATGCTGATAGTGACGATGACCTTTTCGTCAGGGATGATCGCAACGATAATGCCCGTGCGAACATGAATGTGCCACCAGGGCATGACGAAAACGCACCCGAAGATGACGAGTTAGACGCTCTCTTAGCTGAGCATGAGGGTGGTGGGATGCCATCAGAACGGGAACCAAAGCCTAGAACCACCACCACCATACCGAAGGGTGCAGGCCCAAGTTCAGGACTACCGCAAGTAGGCGGCTATGATGATTTGGATGCGATGGATGATTATGATTTTTAATACCCCGTAAATTCTGTTAGTTTAGGAAAACCGATTAACCCCACATGAAAGAAAGACATGCATGATGGTAGCTCTGGCGAGCTTTTGTTCCTTTTTACTTTTCCTTTTTCCCTCTTCAATCAAGGTCAAAAACGTGGAACAAAGAGAATGTGCAAATGTATGATAGAATTTATGTCAATGCAGTGTTTGAGTGAAAAGCTGGAAAATACAATGAATCGCTGATATTGAAAGCAGGAAATAAGGCCCTAGATGTGAAATTTCTGGAAAAAATTCTGCGGAGAAAGGCGAAAGGAAGCTTTAAATGGAAAATGATAAACCAACAACAGCATTGAAGCAAAAAAAAAAAAAAAAAAAAAAAGGGTCAATAAACAAAAAGAGCCCAATCAATCAATCTACCCGTACTATCCCACAATGCAATTAACAAAAAGAAAGTAGAAGAAATGTTAAAATAAAAAGAAAAGAAAAGAAAAACCCGAATTCAAATGAAGAAAAGAGCCCTAGACAAAAATCAACAAAATCAAATCAAAATCAAATATCAAGATAAAACAAGACGAAATATTAAAACAAACAGCAAGCTCGGAAACGAGAAATTCTAAAAAATCATCTTTAAACGTCAATTCAAGCATTTGTCGTCGTGGCAGCGATCTCAGTGAAGACTGAATACTGCCCACCGGCATCCGCCCAATTCAAACGCTTCCCGCGCACAGCAGTGTTCTCCACGATGGACGCGACTTCGATATCCTCATCAGTCCCCTGGCCGGTTTGATAGTTGGCAGAGAAGCCCCACGACCACGCACGCCCATCCTTATCGATAGCGATGGAATGTTCACTTCCACTGCCGATATGGCAAGCGTCAATACCGGGAATAGCAGTGGGCGTAATGAGGATGCGGGGTGCATTCCTATCATCACGAATGATAGATGATTCCGGTAAAGAATCGATTTTCAGACCGGTCTGGAAGCCATCAAGACGCCCAAAGGCTAGACATTCGCCCTTGGCTGTGAGGGCGAGGGAGTGGTGCTCGCCACCGCAGATTTGAATTATGTCTTTGTCTTTCAGGGACTCGACGACGAGCGGGTGAAGGATGGCCGCTTCGCGGTCACCCGCGCCCATCCTGATGCCTGTCTCGCCAAAGCTGTTGAGACCCCACGCGTAGACCTTGCCGGACTTGTGGATGGCGAAGGAGTGGTAAGAGCCGCATCCTAAGCCCACCATATTTTTGGGCAGACCGAATTCCCGGGGCTGTAGGCCGTTGATTTTGGTGCGCTCGATGATACGGCGGCCAAGCTGGTTCTGTTGGCCGGAACCCCAGGCGAAGACTGAGCCTTTGTCGTTGAGAGCGAGCACGTGGTTGGCACCGCAGGTAATGGATTTGATCTTCTTGAGGGTGGGTAAGAGGACGGGAGTTCTTTGGACTGTAGATTCTCCGTCAAAGCCCAGGATGCCGTCGTTGCTCTGAGCAGCATGTTGTTAGTCAATTGATTTTCAGAAAATGAAATTTATCATAGCAAATAAGGTAGATAGGACGAAATTCCGTCTTAACTCACTCTAAATGTACCCCAGCCATAGACAGATCCAACATCGGTCAGAACGAAACTAGCACTGTCACTTGCAGCAACCTGGACAAAAACAGTATCTTCGGGGAAATACTCGGACGGAACGGCCGCAGGAGTCGATTCGCGAGGGTTCAGGCCACTATCACTGTCGGAATCCGAGTCTGAGTCGTCCCCATCGCCTTCTTTGATGTCCTTGTAGCCTCCATCCCAAGTAGTGTTGCGACCCAACGCTCCCTGGTCATTGACGCCCCAGGTCAATATCTTATTATCATGAGTGAGTGCAACACAATGCATGCCGCCGGTGGCAATGTGGACCACGCCAACCTTGTCCGCAGGGAGGTGCGGGTTGAGACGAGGACGCTTCACGTCAACAGCGTTCTTGGCGGCACCAAGACCGAGTTCTCCGGAGCTTCCTTCGCCGCAGACATAGACGTTCAATCGCTGCGTAGGGGGGTGATTGATGACGACCTTGGGCTTGACGACGGGAGCTTTGACGACTCGGACTTTCTTAGGCTCGCGCGTCGCAACCTCATCGGCAACCGCTTTGCGCTTCTTAGACACGTCAACTTTATCAACCTCCTCGTTGTCGCTGTCCGTAGCGTGCGAGACTCCGTTCACCTTGACTTGCTCATTGTTTTCAACTGATTTTGTCCTTTTTGAGCCAGGTTTAGGCCCAGGTTTCGCTTTTGGAGCTGCAGCCTTGGTGGATGCCTTCTTCGCGGGTTCTTGGGCTGTCTTTTTTGTCACTTTGGACTTGGTGGCTGTCTGTGAGCGAGCAGCTATCGCGCTGGATGCGGCTTTTCTGGGAGCCATGACACGCGGGTTACTTTTAAACGGTAATGAGCGAGGGAAGAAACTAGAGAATGGTAGTGGGAGAAGTCAAGATGACTCAATTAAGAACCCTCGAGGGGGAATATGTAGAGTCGGGGCGCTTTGAGACGTTTCGAGACGTGTTGGATTCCCTTTGTTTGCTCCTTTCTTTACCTATGGTTTTGTTGTTGTTGGTTATTTTTTTTTTATTTTTTTTTTTTTTTTTGGCCAAACGCAGGATTATGTCATCACTCTTGCAACACAACCATACAAGTCAAGACAGACAATGAAATGGGTGAATACCTTTCAATCAAAAGAATCAATTGAAAAAAAAAACAAGATGTAGCTATGCCGACAATAGGTTGGTGAATGCACTTCATTCATCGTTGGTTGTTCGCTCTCAAATAACCTTACTCCACTTCCTTATTCCATTCCCCGCCGCTATGAACTATATATGCTCAATTAACTACAGGGTCATTGCAATAGATTAGACACCCCAGTGGCTAATAAGAAAGAAACAGCTTAAGGAACGCATCCATCCGCCCGTACATTCCCTGAAAGCTATCCCGCGGGTGTTACGATGTATCCATGGTTGGCGCTTCGGCCAGAACTACGATACCCGCGCAGCTCGGGGGATTTTTCTGGTATAATTCCCCGCATGAAACTCCATTCTCCATACCTAATATGCGGAGCGCAACAAGTATGTGTGAAGAGCTGAATGAAAAGCTCCAAAGCGTTGCCATTGTAAACATATACAAATACGCCGTCAATATATCAGCATTGGGGTGCAAAGTCTATAAAAGGAAATACATCCACAATGACAGGACACCCAGCTAACCTACCCAAATTCTCTGATCTGCCTTTGAACAAAGGAGATCCTCTATTCCCTGCACGGGGACTGTATGGGAAGGATGACCAGTTAGGCTTCCTGAACCGCCAGACAGATGCCATGGTGGCGGAGGCTGCGAAGGAGATAAAGACGGGAGAGGGGTGATAACAACTTGATAGAAATTCCAACATGGTCATTGTGTACTAGTAGTTAGGTAATTCTTTTTTGTTTGTGATCCGCATTCCTTCAATAGCTAAAGAAGGAAGTACTGTACAAAGAATAAAATATTGACATCATGTTCTTTCATCCTATAACTCCCTTTGCCACTCTTCCCCGGCCGCGAAATTATCGAGAGCTAACTTTTGAAAATCGCAGAGTATTTATCCCTAAACTGGCCACTAGACGCCCAAAGCAAAGTGCCCTTCTTCAACCGGCAGGTGTTTCACAAACAACTTGTTGAAAAAAATCACTTCGGACGGTGAACGATGATGTCTGGACGTTTTAACACGCAAAGTAGCAGCCGGTGCCAGTTTCCTGCTTTCGTCCTTCCACCTTCCTTTCCCCTTCTTCCTTCCCCCTCTCCCTATTTCCCAGCGGGCATCCACTATGCAGCCAGAGAGTCCAGATAAAATGAAAATATAGCTTAATAGGGGCTCGTCCATTCCATCTTCTTGAGTAGGGGACGTACGCCGTCACTTCGGCTACCGGAAAGAAAAGAATTTCTATAACGGCGCGACCTTCTGCGAGTTACGCATAAACTGACGGCACCCTCTCCTTTTTTTCCTTCCCCCTCCTTTTTGCCGTATCTTAAAGCCCGGGCAGAGAAAGGAATCGTAGGCTGCGGAATCCTGCTGGATTTCCACAAGTGGGCATCCGAAAACCATATACACGCCGACATTTTCGAGAAGAACTTCGATTCCGCTGAAACGTCTCAAGGCCGTGTGGCTGAGTCGCACGGCACAGAGATAAAGCTTGGAGACATACTTATCATTCGAGTTGGTAGGATGGGCCCTTGCTTCTTCCTTTCTCACTCCTTCTTTTCCTAAAGTCAAAAATGACTGGGATACATGAAGGCGTTTAACATGTTATCAACGAATGAGCAGGAAAAAAAAGGGCCAAACAAAACCCGCCCAATTTAATCGGCGTGGAACGCAGTGAAGAGATGCCTGAATAGATATGGGAGAATTTTTCCGCAGTGGCGGGCGATCACCCGGCGTTTGAAGCGTATCGTGGGTCACCTCTATCCATCCCCCTTCCCCACCTAGTAATCCCCAAAATCTCCACTGGGGGATGTGTTAATGTAACAGCCAATTGTTACTAATCTAACGAATCATTGAATCTAATCAGCTGCACCGCAAGATTGGAGTATGCATGAAGTGCTCCTGGCCGGCTGGGGATGTCCTACCGGAGAGTTATTCGATCTGGACAAGCTGGCCGAGGAGTGCGAGAGGCAAAATCGATGCTCTTTTTTCGTCTCGAGTGAAGTGTGCAACGTTCCGGGTGGACTTGCAAAGTAAGTGGAAATTCCGCCTGGTACTGTGTACTTTTGAGATGAAAGTGGACAGGAAATATCTGACGGAGACATATATAACATATATACAGCCCTCCAAACATTCTGGCGATATTTTAGAAATCATGGTGAATCCCCGAACCGAAGTCACGAGTTTTCTTGAGAATTCTCGGCGTTTTCCTCTTTGTTTCCTTGAGCAGCTGCGTTAGCATCATTCTGTGCGTTCTCTTCCGCGTCATGTCCTTCGCCACCTTGTTGAGCGACAGTTTCAATGCCGGAGAGAATGGGTTGTGGAGCAGGAGGAACGCGTATCTTGCCACACATTACAACATCCTGACCCAGCGGCTGCCATTTGATATCACGGGGATTAAGAGCACTGATAGGTTTGCCTGTGTTATCCTTTTTCGCGTCCGGGCTGACCCCAACACCACCCTGGCCCAGAAACGTAGGAGCAACAGTAATGATAAGAGAATCGACGAAGTCAACGTATTCAGGATTTAGTAGCTCACTAATTACAGTGGCGCCGCCTTCTATCATGACGCTGGTGATTCCCTCGGTTCCTAGAGCGCGTAGAATAGCTTCCCATCTAAGCCTCCAGCTCTGGTTATATTCCACAATGCGTAGGTAATCGCCTCCGTGATTCTTGAGCGCTAGCACTTTAGCTGGCTGGATGTTTGCTCCGGGTGAGACGACAACCCATGGTGCCTTGCCCTTCCCTTCCTTGGCAGTTTTTAAAAGCCTGCATTCCGGGTCTGCAGGCCATCTTCCAGTTGGGTCCACGATAATTGGTCTGGGTTGCCACATTTTGCCTAATCCTCCGAAGCCACCTGAACCTGTCAGCCGGCAATTTAGGCCGGGGTTATCCACCATGGCAGTTCCGACCCCGATTAAAATGGCATCATGCCGAGAGCGAAGATAGTGCGTCATCAATTTCGTTTCAGTCCCGGATAAGGCTGTTTGTACGCCGGGGAAAAGGGAAACTTTCGAATCCATGGAGGATGCATATGTTAGGGTGACAAAGGGGAACTGTCGATTCTCCTCATATCTAGGGAGATATGGCTGCAGAAAGTCCAAAGAATAGCTAGGAAACGGTAGCGCATCTGGAGGAATCTCGCAACGAGCGTTTTGGGACTCGAGCGGTGGCGGCGGCAGCGGCGGCGGCACAGCTCCATTACGAGGCTCTAACACGGGACCTTGAATGCGCATGATACCATGACCCTGCTGATAATGATAACCCTCATGCTCCCTCAGTTTGACATCGGGATGTAAAGCGCGCCACTTAGCCGAGACGTTGCGGACATCGGTGACGCTGAAAAATTTCCCACCCGCCACCAGCAGCTTATCCGGCTCCTCACGAAACTTCGCATATATAGAGGACGGCAGGTAGCCTTTCTCAGCTTCCTTCCTGCAATACTCTATAAGGCCCGAATTCCGCTTCACCTTGTCAATGTGGTCCAAATCATGCGAATGTGTCCGACTGCTCCCAGGGGTCCTCGTGATCGTAACGGCGGAGTAAGCTCCCTCAAACTTCACCACCTTAATCTGCACATTGCACTGGTTCCCTTCCCTAATCACCTTCTTCCTCGCTCTCTTCCCCTCCGGCAGCGGCCTTGACGGGTTCGGTCTGCACGTCGCCCTCCGGAGTCGACACATGTAGTAATCGGTAGTCGTAAGACCGTCCTTGGTCGAATTGGATCTCTGCTTCACCCAGACGTTATCTATAAACGGCCAGTACGTACGGAACTCCTCCACGCTCATTTCCACGGAATCTTTCAGCTCAAACAGAACCTGCCTGATCCACCCCAGATTGGGCGGATTGCTGAAGAGGCTATAATAAGCCGGGCCCGCTGGAGCAGGCGCGGGAGCGGGAGGTATCACCTGCTCGGCGTTCTGTTGTTCGGTGGGCGTTGTAAAGTCGGTATTGGTATTATTTGCCGGTTGCGGGTGGGACGTAGGCTCGGCGGACTGTGAAGGGGAGGGCTGGCGTTCCGGTTCAGCCTCGACCTGCGCTTTGATATCGTTCTGCAGTCGGGAGTCATCGTCTTCGGCATCGTCCATGTCCACGTCTTCATCTATCGGCGACGTTTTCGGAGAGTTCTCTGTCTCAACATTTGATTGAATCGTGGTGTCGTTCTGCTCTGGCGGGTTCGACAGCCGCGACTGAGGGGAGCCAGATGCTGTACTAGCGCCCCCGTCGTCCATGACTACCGCTCACGGCCGTGTGGATGGAATGTAATTGAAAGTTTCCGGTGTTTTTCTGGGACGAAGGGACTGGAAGCTTCGGGCGCGCACGGGCTTGTTTCCGTGGTTGACTTGTTGGGAGCTTAAGTATTGGAGACGCCAGAATTGAAAGGTGAGGGTAGCTTGAGTAGGGAATAGGAAAATGTAAAAAAACCCCGTGTAAATACTATCTTGGTGACGGTAGGAATCACCGCCTGGATCAGAGAGAAATGGGGTGATTAGCAAGCAATTGCTGGCCGATGCTGGAGAATGGGAACATTTGAGGTTCAATTGAGCTTGGGACGGAGAAGAAAGTTGCGGCTGGCAAAAAGTTGTGGGGATTTGGCACCAACGCCAAGAGTGCGAGAGCAAAAGGCTGAGAGAAAAAGAAAATAATGAAGTAGTTACATGGTAGTTCTAGGGCTGGGGGAATAGGATATATTTCCCTGAATGGGTAGATGTGAAATTATGGGCCTATATTGCCTTTGCTCCCATTTGCATGTTATCCCCCGAGTGGGTTGTAGACAAAACAAATCAGTGCCGGGCGACATACATGCAGAATGAATGCAGTCAGGCTGATCTGATCTGATCTGATCTGATCTGATCTGCCGATGGATGCTGGGGAGCTGCGTGCTTTGTAAGTAACTGGCTACTGCGGATGCGTGGCGGAAAGAACTAAACAATGCACCACGCCGATGATTCTTCATTCCTCTATTGCACCCTGGTTGGTGTGTTTGAATGGGTATATCCATCTCTGAACCCAGGGTCCAACTTGGCTCGAATATGCACGACGCAACATACGCAAATATATCACATCCACAAGAAGGAAGAAAGCAGAGATGACAATAAGATATAAATATAAAAGTATAAGCATCCAACAAGCGCTATCCAGCACATCAAACAAGTCCTAACAAAAAGAGTATATCATTACAGCCCAATCTCCCCGCCCGCTTTGGCCAACATCTCATAAACCCGCGGTGGTAACTTGTACTTGATCATACCCGCGAAAACCATCAAGTCTTTCGCCATCACAAGAAGCTCATCCGCCAAGCTCTGCCTCATGCCATTCGCGTATGCCCCTTGTTGAAGTCTTTCCCGTTCGCGACCGATGCACATCATACTCCACATAATCAGCTGGCCGGCGTTCCTGGAGATGACCGGGGGGAGGGATGGGAATGCCTGCGCGGCACTGCGGATGTACGTGACAGAGCCCTGGGCTCGTAATGGGAGGATCTGGAGATTGTTGATATCCTATTAAAAGAAAAAAAATGTCAGGGCACACTCTGTTCTAGAGACTGAAATATATACCAAGGTACACCGTGGAAGAGAGGAAAGAAGTACAGATATGCTTACATCTAGCGCCTGCGCCCATTTCCCGGCTGCAACATTCGCCTTTGCTTCCATTGTGCGTAGCAATAGGCCACATGCATCCCTGTTGATCTGGTGTATTTTCTGGTAATAGAGCGCGTTGGTATTATAGAGCCCAATCATATTTTTAGCGAGCACAACCGGGTCATCAACCGCCGTGAGACTTAGGCTGCTTCCCTGTTCAGGAAGGGTGCTTGCTTGTTGAGGCTGCTGTGGTTGTTCCTGGCTGCTCGGCGTGGTTCGCGGTTTTAGGGGCTGCAGCTTCATTGCCGAATCGCCCAAATCTACAGCAATAGCATCCGCAAGTGCGCGGTTGATTACGGAGATAACATTGTCGTATTCTTCAGCCAGGTGGTATAGCAGAACGGCGTCAGTAATGAGTCCCTTATCATCGGCCACGGCTGCTGCTTGAACAGTGATCGTCTTTAAGAATTCTTCTTGGTCGATAAGTTTGATGAGCTTCAGTCGCCGTTCGATCGCGCCCTTGATTCTGGTGCCGTCGCTGCGGATATCTCCTAGAAGGAGCGCAAAATCTCGAGTTTCCAAAATGAATTCTCTCAAAGCTTCGTGACAGACGGAAGCCTGGGATTTGCCAAGCTCTCCTGGAAGATCCGCGTTCAGGCATATAAGAGTGAAATAGTTGACTGCAGCTTCAACATAACCAGTGCGGAATTCTCGAGTATACTGTGTAATGAGTGATGCGAAGTTGATTTGGGGAAGTTGTTTCGTGCTAAACGTCACTGTTTCGCAATATTTGGTTAGCAAATCTGCGGCCATTGATCGGGGCCACAATTCATTTGGCAAATACTTACATAAATCCTCCCCTGACGCAAAAAAGTCAGAAACACGGAGCAGGCCATAGAAATCCAGCGCAATTGCGAAATGTACAGCACTGATCGGTTCATGATGCGCAAGACACGATACGGCCTGCTCGAACATGCCTCCGAGGATCTGGAGGAGGAAGAAAGTTCCATAGCCGCCGGGGCCATCTTGGCCCTTTCCAAATACTCGCAGTCCGATTTCACTGATATCACTCTGAATTTCCTCCAATCCAAAGAGCTCCCCAGCCACTTCCTCAGTTCGGCTATCTTCCCGAGCGAAAACGAACTGTAACCACATCCAATCCTCAACGCCCTGCCCGATGCCATCAAACCGACGTTGGCTGAGGTCACAGCGGCCAATGATTTTATAGCATGCCATGCGATATGGATCGACAGTATTCTCCGGAGCATTGCGCAAACGCTGCTGATACTCTCCATTGATCTTCTGCTGCAGGTCTCTGGGAAGCCGCCTGTTCTGCGCATAGGTTGTCATGTAGGTAACAAATTTGTGGTCAAGTGACCGGAACCCTGGATCCTGGCTCACATATTCCGCTGCTTCCTTGACGAAACCACATCTGAGGAGATAGAAAATGAGGATCCAGCAGTAATCCTGGCCGACCATCTGGAGTTCCGTGCCATCAGGGGCAAGGTCCTTTCGTGCAGCGCGAAGGCGAATGTAAGCGCGAATCTTGTTGGTTATCGAAGGGACCCCACCAAGCTGGGCTTCCCGCGGGTTCTTTGTAATAATACTTTCGACTTCCTTATGAAACAACTGTTCCAAAAATTTTCGCGACCCTTCGATAATTCTCTTTCTCATCCTCGTTGCTCCAACGGAATGTAAAGAATCATCTAGGTAGTCGCCCGCGAATTGTCGTTCCTTGAGCACACCGGGTTCTGAAAGACTAGCGGAGTTCGGGCTTTCATTTACCATGCTGATCAGGGCATGGTAAGCTTCAAATAATTGCCGTGGAACCTAAAAGCCGGTTGTTAGCAATAACAAATAGAATTATTCTTTTGGGTTAAATAAAAAGGGGTAATAATTCACGTACATCCCCACCGGCGACCCGCTCGGTTTCTGCAAATCGATGTAGAATCGGGAAAGTCCTTTCTTGGAGTCTCGCCTCATTCAGCTCCTGAACGCTGTTCGCAAAGTGCCGAAGTTTTTCTCTCAGGAAACGAGAATCAGCAGAGGCAACTCCCGCACCTTCCTCGTTACGCATTGCGGAATCAGAAAGATACTGGGAAGTACGCCCGTTGACTGAAGGAGACCCAATAACGGATTTCCCCAACGCCGACCGACCAAATATGCTGCGCCTGCCAATGGCATCGCCGCCCCGCGGCATACCTGTCCCCCCAGCGGACCGTCCCAGTGCAGCTGATTTTCCAAAGGAGCCGCGGGATGAAGAATCAGACGTTCCCCGCGCAGAGTCATCCCTAGACATCAAGCCGAAATGCTCGTAGATCTTTTTGCGCTGCTCGTCCCAGTTGACATTCACTTTCTCCTCGAGAAAAGCGTCAAAGTCCTTACGGACACGGGCAAGACTTTCAGCAACCATCGCTTCCCGCCCACGCTGCTGAACCTGCCGTAGAAACTTCTGATTGTCGGGATCGAATGTGTCGGTACTCTTGAATGGGCTACTCGCTGTGGTTTGGCTACCCAGCATTTTCAAATCCTGCAAGACTTGGCCGGGCGAGATACCGGAAGCCGCAAGAGAGTAGTGTCTGAGGAAAATACGACTAGGCATTAGCAAATATCGCATGGTAATATGTAAACTGCTTAATTCGAAAGATGAGGGGAAAATATTACGCTTTATTATCCGGCCATTTTCCTCCCAATCCTCGCCGCTCACCAGGCGCCCCCAATCCTCGCGCAGCTCTCCGAATATCATCTAAACCAAGCTGAAGATTAGGAAGGTCCGCAGAAGCTGCATCTCCAGTAGACGCGTGTGGACGTTTTTTACCCCGCTCCAACAAGCTACTGAAGTACGCAGGTTGAGTGGACTGAGAAGCGGCAATGGGCTGTGTTGCCGGCTGGGACTGCGATTGGGTTTGCGCCCCCGGCTGGTTCCCCAAAAGCGACGAGCCCAGAGTGTTTTGTGTGGTGGTTTGACCGAAGGAGGGAGTAGTTGCTGGCTGGCTAGTAACTGCCGGGGCGCTGGGTAGCAAGGACCCAAATGGGTTGGACCGTTGCGGTTGTTGCTGCTGCGGTTGTTGCTGCGATTGTGAATCCCCGAGATCGAGTAAACTTCGCTTTGCAGGTTGATTTGTTGCTGCACCTCCAAAGACGGAGCTTTGCTGGCCGGTGTTTGGGAACATGATGGGTTCCCTACGTAGTAGTATAGAGGTGCTCTGAATGTTTGTTGCTAGGGATGCTGGGATGTTGAAGTTCTTTTTGTCAAAGGCAGAAACAAAGGGAATAGGTTATATATGAAGTGAGCGTCCGAGAGAAGCTGGAATACCCCGGCGAGCTTGACTAATTTGCAAGTTCAAGCACCTGCTATCCAGACAGAGAAGCTCGTCGTCGTCGTCGTCGTCGTCGTAGTCGTTCTATCAACAATAAAAAAGCTGCTCGTTTTTGAATGTATACACCGGAACAACACTTTTCCCGGCACCAAGCTAATATTTTTGTTCCTAGTTAGATTTGTTGAAAAAGCCATCTATAGAAAGGCAACCCCAATCCTGATACCCCGTACCGGCAGTCCCCGGTCTCAAACCCTCATCCACCATCCTCATATTTCGTCCGCGTTATCCTGTTGCCCAGCATGCCCGTTTTCCAAGCCAAACGCTTTCGTCCCTCGACAGGCTCCGGCTCAACCCTGGGCGAGCGACTGGGAGCGAAATACCGCGCAAACCTCAGCAAACACCCGTTCTTGCTCTTCGGCCTGCCCTTCATCGGTATCATGGTAGCTGGGTCCTTTGTCCTCACCCCCGCCACGGCATTGAGATACGAGCGCCACGATCGTAAAGTGCAGCAATTGAGCCAGGAAGAGGCGATGGGTTTGGGGCTCAAGGGTCCGGATGGCGATGATGCGCAGGTCAAACGGAATCCGCGGCGGAGAGTGCTGGGGAGTGAGAAAGAGGAATATTATGTTCGTTTTTATCGTTTTATTTTGTCTTGTTTTGTTTACCCTTTTTTTTCGGAGGGGAGCGGGGGGCAATCAAGAGAAAGCTCTCTTCCCCTCCTTCTTTCTGCTTATTTTACGAACGAAAAATCCCACTTTTATTCTATTTCTTTGCTGGCCTTACAAAACACAAAGATATCTAATCGAATTTTTGTGCACCTTATATATAGAAACTCATGGCCAAAGACCTCGATAACTGGGAACAAAAGCGCGTGCGACGCTTCAAAGGCGAGCCAGACGGTAGATTGTGAACGACCCGAGAAAACACCAATAAACACTGGCATCCTCATCCCGCATCCGAGGTCAACAAGTTCCTCACGCTCAAAAACCCAACCCAGGTTGCCAAACGCAACGCAAAAAACAGGAAATCACAGCGGTACTATTTTTATATATAAAATCCTCCATTTCTCCGATGATCGGGAGTTGCAACAAAAACCGGAGAAAAAAAAAATGAACGATCACCCCCACGATAATTAATCCCGCCGAACTTGTTTAATAAGATTACTGAATGCCCCCATGCCAACCAGCCAACGAAGAACCATGGGACCAAACGTAGCTCCCTGCAACAGCCACGCGCGGTTGGATGAATCCGCAATTCTTTAACCGCGAAACTCTTGCCTTGCAGCCAAGAACCAGAATAATCAAACAAAGGAAAGGAAAGGGAAACAGGCATGACCTGACACCTTTTTTTCTTCTTTTTTAAGCTATTTCCAGTCGGCGGTTATTCGCGTCCGTGCTGCAGTCCCCTATCCCGTTCCCTCCTTTGCCCTCCTTCTCCCACGGCGCGGGAAATAATTCGGAGCGAGTGATCTATGTGTTTGTGGGGTAACCGAGTCTGATACCATGGATTTCGCTCCTCACTACTCTGGACAAGCAGAAATAAATATGGACAGGGATTGATGATTTGTTCGGAGTGGGCTCCTGTGGGGCCCGGGGGAGAGAGATATTTCGTGCGTTCGGTAGTTGGGCGTGTACAGTCCCATGCACATAACATCATCGTGCATCGCGATTTGCATGGATGGTTGAAGCGTCCAGCCAAAGCCAAAGCCAAAGCAACCCTTCTTTTAATCCCCCTTTTTTTTGGTTTTCTGCGGGGTTGTATTGTATTTTGTCCCAACGCTACGCTGCGGCGCTGCGCCCTCTTCGCTTTCCTTTTTATGGGGTGAACAGACAGACAGGGTCCATTGCTGGAAGGCTGAAATGAAGGCAGACACAAATCGATCATGTAGTACAAGTCAAGTCGATGATATTACTATATGACTCTGGCCATGTGTACAGACAGGTTGAAGGGAGAGGCGGACACACCTCATTGTAACTCACTCTGATAAATGACGTGATTAATTGACCCGTCATGCCAATAGCGCGTCGCATCAACTATACACCTCGGGTGATCATGCTTGCCCAATGCAGATATTCTTTTTTTTTTTTTTGATGTAGTTATTCATCATTACTTTGTTACTTGATAGATAGTCTGGGCAGCCATCGCGATAAATAATCATCAACATCGAGTTCTTGCCCTTTAACATAGTTATCTGTGCACAACTAGTTAACTACTCAAGCCGGCTGAGCTGTTGGTGTCAGTTTTTATGATGACCTGTTTTGTGGTTCGAGGCGAGTTTTTACTGCGTATATTCTTGAGCTTGAGATCAACCTGCAGGGCAAGTCAGTCAGTCAGTCAGTCAGTTAGTTGGTTTTATCAATAAATATAAGTTAATCCAATGAAGTAGTTAACAGTAAATCATTGGATCACGGGTAGATAGGTAGATAAGCTTGAAGCACGGGCTCCATCCCAGCTCCCAATAGATAGATATATAAGAATCTCGAAGCATCGATTCGCATAGTTCCTCCAGGATCAGGGAAAGATCCCAGCAAAGGCAAAGAAAAACAGACGAGGAGTAAACATCGACACATCCCATGATCCCCCCCAACCTTTTAACTTGTCATCCGCTCCTCTGGAACAAACCCGCCAAAAGCAAAGCAAAATAAAATGGGAAAAACCCAATAAAGTTCCGGATGCAACACCCCACCCCCCCTCCCTTCCACCCCCATTGTCGAGGCAACTTTCCTCCAGGGGCCACCGTTCCATTCTTCGGCAAACGGTTCCTGAACCGACTTGAAGTTGACTGAGTTTCATCATTCCAAAAACCCCCCGCCGCCGAATCAACCAACCTTTCTTCTCTTTTTCCTGTTCATATGGAATTCCTCCCAGAATCATAGCTGAACCGTACATAGTCAGGTCGAGTTTGATTGATTGTTGATCGATTAGAAAAGAAAAGAAAAGAAAAGAAAAGAAAAGAATAGAAAAGAGACCCCAAAGCAGTGCTCGCCCATCCCATCCCATCCCATCCCATCCCATCCCATCCCCTTCCTCGCGCGCTGCAAAATCACATCACCAAAAGCCGCAAGAGCCTAGACCCCCGCCCCGCGCGCGTGTGTGCGCTGGATCGATCCATGAAAGTCCATGAAACCCATGCAAATTCCATCGGATGCTTTGCTGCATGCACTCCACAAGCCAAGCCCGCCATGACGCAATGCGCTGCGCGGTAACAACAAACTTGGGTGGTTTTATGTATGTATGCACATACTGTACATAGCTAGCTCCCTATGCGCCCCCCGGCGAAACTTTAAGGAGGCGGTACTATGTAGTTAATTAAGGCTTACGGGGTTCCACTTGTGTGTGGGCTGGGATGCTGTGCGCGTTATTTTATCGAGATGGACGGACGCACACATGTGCAACAACACGTCCCCCCGCCTGTTGCTAGTTTATATGGCTGGTCGGTCGAGGGATGGTGGTCAGCGGTGGGCGTTGATTCCCACCTCCATACGGAATAACATTGTGGGGTTTTCTGGTGCTGGGGCTGGTGCTGGTGATGGTGCTGGTCAGAGCAGGCTGGTATCGCTGCCACCTGCGCGTCCCTTGGGCTCTCGCTCGCGATCGATGCTGCTTGATATGATCATTGATAGTTGCAACGGCCACTAATCTGTAGAAATTCAACCGCATCCCAAGTGATAGTCGTGCATTTTAGACGGCAAGGTGTGTGCGAATAACGAGTTACAGTTACAATCTTAAGTTAGTTAGTTAGGCTAGCTACTATGGTAGTCAATTGCTTTCTTCTTCCCCCCACACACACACCCACACCACCTTCTCTTCCCCTTCTCCCTCCTTTCTTTCTGGTTTCCTTTTTCTTCCTAGCCCTCGCCCTAAGCTCCACACTAACACCTAACTTACCGCGCCCAGACTAGCCAGGCCTTGCTTGTCCGTCGAGTCGGAATGCTTGCATCAAGAACCAACCTAACCACCAAAGCAACCCCCAAACGCACCAAACGCACCAAAAAAAAAAAAAAAAAAAAAAACCTGTGTGCTCACCGACTTTCCCCATCTCGAACTTGCTTAAATAGTTCACCATTTTTCGTGGATGGTGGGGAGGAGCAAAAGCAAACCATCTGCCGCACCATTTGCGTTGTTTTGTTTGTCGGAAGCTCAAATCACTAGTTAGCTAGTTAATTATTCCTACCTAACTACTCCTTCTAGATCCTTTGTCCACACGAATGTGTAAAAATTGAACTGCCCCCCATCATGGATCGCAGACCTGTCATCTGGAACCCGTTATTTGCCTTCTTAATGATGATAGTTGCCCAGTTAATGGTTATGATGATGATGATGGTGATGATGATGACGATGATGACGATGATGTGATCAACCCACGCGGTCAATAAGATTTTTTTCTGGAGAGAGTCAAAATGAATTCGAGAAGGAAAAGGAAAAATAAAAATAAAAAATAGTTAACTCTGTTTTTTTTTTTTAATGGAGAACCGGAGTGGTGAGGCTTTTTTGGGGGGGAAAGGACCTCGAGGGACACGGAATCCAGGGTCGACCCATTGGCCTGGGTTATCTAGAGGATGATAGATGTTGTTTGAGTTTTGGCAGGAGACCGCGGGTTGAAAAGGGGGTGGTTCTGGAACTCCGGCGGGAAAGTTAAATATATGGGGGAAGAGGAAAAAGAAAAAAGTTGAGAATCGGGAGGGAGGATCTGAATGGGGAGGGGGTATTGTTGAGTTCCGTACACCGTGTAGAGAGAGTGTGTGTGAGAGAAAGCTGTTGCGACCATCGTAGAGGATCGGGACAGATGTTGTGCCTGCAGAGTGACGAGGAGACAGGCAATAGTGAGAATAGTTAGTTCGTTGACCATGGCCATGACGATGATGATGATGATAGCGGGCAGACAAACAACCATCTGCAGCCGCAAGCCGCGCCGCAAGCCCGGGACGCTGTGAAGTTACGCGGGGACGAGAGAGAGAGAGAGTCTCCCGCAGCAGCAATCATCCACATCCAAGCAACAGTCGTCGATCCCAATGGGCCCAGCCCTGGCTTCCTCATCTTCTTGTTTCTTCTTCCTCCTCTTCTTCCTCTTCCTCTTCCTCCTCCTCGCCGTCGTCTTCTGCTTCTTCTTGATCCCCTTTTAACACAGCATTTTCCCTTCTCCAACCACCAACCAGCGCAAATTTGTCAGCCGGGAAAGTTAGCTACCTCAGTCCAATTGGAACTTTATCCTCTTCTCTCTTCCTCCCGCATCGAATCGACGCAAGGACGACGAGGGGCTTCTCAACCACGACTGGACCTGGACCTGGACCTGGACCTGGACCTGCAGAATACTCAAGAAGAATAATAGATAAATTAATTATACGATCCCGATCCCGATCCTATTCCTAGTCCCACTCCCACTCCCAATTCCAAATCAACCACCACCTTGCTCGCCGGGATGTGTCGTTGATTGTTTTGAATCTTCTGGGGGGTTTCCAGCGTAGGTTTCAAGTTTTCTTTTCCACTTACCTACCTTCTTTGTGCTTTTCCGCCCGCTGTACTGTACCTTGTTGTTGTTGTCGTTGTCGTCGTTGTCGTTGTTGTAGCTCAAGAGCTCTGCTGTGTCCGAAATAATATCTGTCTTTTTTCTTTGCTTGTTATACTCTGGCTGTACCCTGCCCTGCCCTTATCATTCCTCCTGCTCTGCCAGCAGCAGGGCAATTATTCAATTATTCATCTGGCCATCCCGAAGCCGAAGCAGAACCATTGCCTCACCCTCTCTCCCCGTGGCGGCCGGTGGGTGGCTGGAAGAGCAAAACTGCGCTGGGGCAGCGGCGGTGGTGGTGGTGGTGTTACATCCTAGCAAGTTGTCATTGTGTAGAGCCTACGACCCAGTGTTAGTAAAGGTGGCTGACCAGAAGATTCTGCTGATTTTGATTTGATATCATGATTCGTGATTCTTTGATTCTTGATTCTTGATTACTCGAAGCGCTGTGTGTGGCCGTGTTCTGTTTTGCCCCTTTCCCGCATCCACACGTCATAGCGTCCCAGGCTTCGGTTCTTTTTTTTTTTTTTGCCTTTCTTTTTCCTTTATTTTTTGGTTCTCTCCGGTCTTTGTTCCAACCCTCGCTTTTAAACTTCCCCTTTGCCGCACGCTGGGAGATCCTGCTATTCGTTACCTTTGCGCCATATTCCCTAGCAAACTTCTCCCCTTTGCCTCCTCCCTCCAGACGACCGTTTTCGCTCTCTCCCGGGCGGTTTCAGCTAACCCAAAATAGGGCCTCGGCCTCCCCTCGTCCTCCACGCCTACGTCATAGCTGCCCCTTCCACGAAACGAACTTCCGCCCACGTCGCATTTTTTTTTTTGACTCCTCGTCTCCGCAGCTCATCCACACCCCGCCTCAAGCTTGTTGGAATCTGGCTCTGGACCCAAAAGCTGCCTCGTGGTAGAAGCTTGTTTCCCTGCGCTGTTTATTTGTCGGTGTGGCGCGCGCAACCGCCCTCGCGGTTGTTGATATATAGCCTTACCATACAACCAACCAAGTTCGATGCCCGTTTGATCGGTTTACACTTGCCACCGTAATTCCTACCTACTACGTCACACCCCATAGTTGTGATCTGTCCATTGTTGCTTGCTGCCGTTGCATTCTAGCAAACCATGCTCCCTTTTGTATCCATCTCTACCACAGCATGGCGTTCGCTTACCACCATGAACAACTTCGTTATTTGACATTCGACGTTTTGACGTTCCTGCTTTGAGGAATTAGAAATAATAATTTTTATATTATATATTTTATTTAACTGGAAGAGGGGCAAAAGATAAATTACGGATTCCCCTTCTCCGGATTCACGTTCCCATTCCCTTTACTACAACGAGGGCTACAGAATCAGAATCAGAATCTCGTTTCTTCCAAATTATGTCGGCGACCACCGCGTCTTTGCCATCTCCTCAAGCTTGGAGTCCCAACGTCGCAACTAACGCAGTGTCTACTACCCCGTTGGGAATGCCGCCACGGACACCCGCGTCAGTCGGCCAGATGGCGGCTCCTATTCTGGGTTCTGGAGGTGCCCTCTCACCGCGAGTCCTGCGCGATTCGTGCAATGGCTACTTCGGCGTCGTCGATTTCAATTCCAACAACCCGCCAAACTCGACAGCGGGAAAACATACGCGCAAAACCTGGAATTTAACGTCGGGCTCGCCAGGTGCTGGGAAACAAGGGAATCGTCAGCCCTCTGAATACAACTTCGAATCGGCTGGGTTTGTTGCTGGCCATAGAATCACGTCCAGTTTTGAGAAACAAACGCAGGCCCTTCGCGATAGAGATCGCAGGGCTGAGGAGAGGCGTGAGATGCAGACGCCCCCTTCACCACATGCCATCGACGCCCCGTTCGCTACATCGCGATATGATGACAAGACTAGCTATATGAGCATCGATCCACACTCGAATCGCTCAGCAGGAGAAGCTAA